CTTATGCACGTCGTTTTCAAACTCGGAATGCAACCGTTCGTCACTCGTTACGCTGTTAAACGCAAGAAGCTCATTTATAAAATAATCATTAAGAAGGAATGCCGAGTGTTTCTCGTGTCACAATGTCGGCAATATAATATATAAATTTACGTCTGTCACCAGATATGTGTATAGTAGCGATCAATAATATGAGTTTAAACGAGGGAGTATTGTATTTAGTATTATACAAGGTGATGCAATTCCTATTGTCTCTTGAAATATCTTTACAACATGAGAGTGCAAGAGAGAGAGAAGAATTTATCCAACAGAAATCGTATTGGTATCATTAATCGTCACTTCGGACGATTTACTTTCTGTAAATACAAACTTTTATCATTTCTTTATCTAGTCGTTAGCAAAATATTTTTATTCTTCGAGGATATTTAAGGTTCACCTTCACCTTGGTACAATGATTATCATTTCACTTTGGTACAATATCTTTCGCAAAGAGCGGTATCTTACGAACGATAAAAATGAAGAAACTAGAATTGTACACAAATGATATAGGTATAGCTAATCACACAACGTAATCACAAGATATACATGTGACCAAGCCGGAAATATAGATAAAGAGGTACGAGAGAATGTCACTTTTACTTATTTCAGCAGATTCCTTATCTCTCGAAAGGACAGAACGAACGATTCATTTTTATTGATATATGTTACCGACATTACAGCCATGTGTAAAAAGTGTTGACTCGATGATATCGATGTCAGTTCAAAGAAAGAAGAAAATGTCCCATGCCAATGTGTTAATGTGAAAATTGCGACGGATTCGATGGTGGAAGTTATCTTTAGGGATCGAAAGCGTCAAACCGAAAAAAATAGCGGATACGACGAACCATCCGAGGGCAGCGAGAGCGATTCAATTTCTAATCGACCGCGCGCTCTGATTGCTTCTCGATCGTGTTTCGCTGCTTCCGCATAAATAAAAAAAAAAAAAGAGCGAGAACCGCGAACGCAAACTTTGCGCAACGTCCGGTCGGGAAATAATTCCGATGATCGTTAAAAATTCGATAAAATTGCGCGAAAGCGAATCAACAAAATGGATAAGTAAATCTTCAATGAGATCTACTGATGGAACAGGCAAAAATATTTGCCGCTTAATAAATTCCTCGATATATTGGTATTTTCGTATCTAATATGTAAACACAATGCGCTCGCAACTGACCATTCCCCGCAAATTTAATCCCATTAATCGGAGTAATCAAGTCGCCATCTCTGCAACGCAACCGCAGCTTTTACCATCCAGTGCAGAAATCATGCAACGCCGCGAACGCAGGCGCGTTAACGCGTGCACGATCCGCGCGCAAGTTCTTATCACGAAGCGCATAAACCATAAATTCGCAGGATACTGTCAGCGTGCATAAAGAGAGAGAAAGAGAGAGAACGAGCGTTATCCTTTCTGCGCTTCTGACGTCGTGAATCACCGACGTTAACGACAGGTCGCGGCCGCCGCCGTAATCTGGTTCCGCGCGCGCCGCCACGGCTCTTCTCTTATTTATCGCCCGTAAGCGCGCATCGGAAATAAATTATTTAAAGCGCCATTCTTGCACGCAGCTATGAACCTTCGGGGCATAATTAATAGCTGCCGGTCGTCGCCGGGCATCCGCTGAATTATCTGCGCGTTGCGTGCGCCGTTAAGCAAATCGGCTGGCTGTTTAAAAGCGGTCTGCGAGAATGCTCGCCTATCGACTCGTCGATAAATCGACGGATCGGAGTTTATCGCGTGCGATTATGTCGTCCGCTTCGCTGGGCTTCGCCAGTCGCGAATTACGAACAATCGAAAGTGCAAGATTATTTTCGCGTTTCGGCCAAAGGCTGGCGGATTCCGTCGGAAGCAAGCGAGATTATCGGTCGTCAATTAATTAAAGGGACGCTATAACTTGAAAACTTTACCGACTTTACCGACTAGAACACTTTTCTTTCGCAGATTTTCTTCCGCAAAATTTACGTCTTATTGATTGCACAGAATTATAAATGCTTTTGCGCAGTGAAAGTACGCCCGAAAATTAATCGGAGCATTACTCAATATGTGACGAAAACGATTAGAAATTTCAAAGTGACAGCTGTCAGTTAGCGTAGATACTTATTCGACACAGAAATTTTGCAGCCTTTACGTACCGAATGTGTCAATACCCCGATCGGGAAAATCTCATTCTAATGTAATTCAAAGGCTTAAAACGATACGAAAGGTTTGCAGGAAAATTTCTACATATCTTGGTTACAACTGATCTCGAGAATTATCATCAGACAGAAACACTCACGGGAGGTTATCAATGAATTCCTCTCTCGCGAAGATATCCGTCAGGTCGTAAAAGGTCGCGCGAGGGGACATCGGCTCGCTCGCATCCGTTTAATTGCAAATGAGTTTTACCGCGGCAAAATTTCAATACGTGAATCCTCCCGGCAGGCATACTGTTGTTGCACAATAAACATTCCGACGAGATTTCGCTAATGACGCGCTCTTCCTACGCGTCGATCATCATAGTGACGCGATGACGCTACTTGATAGAATTATTCCGCGGCGTTATCGAGGGTATGGAGTCGAACGACTTTGTTTTCGTCGTCGGGATTCCTTTGCTGCCCCGTCTTCGCGATGTACGACGCAAAGGTCAAAGAAAATACTGGTAGCGAATGCCGCGCGATTAATCATTAGACCGGTTGGCATTTCAGCGAAGCGCGCGAATAAGTTATGCGCGGACAAAGACGATTTACCGTTACGATTAATTAATAGAGCTCGCTTCATCGGTGATGCGGGCGCGTATCAGCGAAGAGCGCGCAATGTCGAATGGAATTGGTGACGTGACGAAATGACGGCAGACCAAACAGAGACCACGCCAACTTTCGTGGATTTCGTGACGTAATCGCGCTCGCTTCTTTATTCGTTACTTCATCGCGAATGCGAGGAAACAACGCGCTGTTTATGTATCGAGCCCATCGGGATATTTAAATGTCCGGAGTGAGTATCCTTTCGCCGTCTATACAAGAGCAGCCGTGCTTCTTCGCCGTTTCTCTTTTTTTCCTCCTTTTCTGCTACCTATTATACTACATTCCGCAGGGACGTCGGTCCCCGGAAGGCACCTTTGATGAAAACATATTTATAATTAAAGGTTCGTCGCAAAAACCATCACGTTGTGAACATTGAGCGAATAATAGAGTTTCGTGATCGAGGAGAAGACGTGGCGCTTGAGAAACAGAATTACCGCGAGCGATTGTTAATTAAAGGAAAAATGTCTCAGTGAGTTACGTAAGTTCCGTGTACAATTTCTAAGAAGTTGTTAAAATTAGTTGAAAAATAAAGTTTCATAAATATTACGTAGAGGAATCAAATAAAATATATAAGATAGTTATTACTTAATACCGCAAGTTTTCGACTTTTCTACGTAGAAGTTTGCCCCCGTGTACGTTAACAAAGATATCAAACAACTGATGTAGCAATATTGCGTCCAGTGTATACGCATTTGTGCATTTCGATCTAAAGTCAATTTCTCATTCACAATGCGCGCACATTTCTGCGTGGCATCAATCAGCGAATGATAACGCACGGCGCTAAAAACTCGCCTGACTCGACCGAGTCGGAGACGCCGGCGCGCACGCATACACGTATATTCATACATTCAAATGAGAATTCCCGAATCGAAATCTTTATGATTCACGATGTCGTCTTGGAATTCCTGGCCGGCCAGACACCGGGCAACGGGATCGTCGGATGCCAATTCTTGTCCGAATGTGGACCGGTTTTTGGTCGCCGACGTCTCCGCCGTCGCCGTCAAACGTAAGTATTAAATCTTTCGTAACGGCGAAAGGTCACCGAGGCGATGCACCGAGAGGAGACCGGGCTGGTCGCGCTATCATAGAATACGTATCCTTTCCCGCGGCCTTTCTCTTTCGCGCGACCGTTGCACTTTCCCCTCGCCTCGATATCTACGGCTGATCGGCGACGCGTTCGATCGTGGGTGCGCGTATCGAAAATCGCATCCTGCCAGGAGAAACCGATCGAAAGTCGTCGTTTCTCGCCGACGATCCTCCGGGAAACGGCGGAGGGTGGACCATTCCATTTTCACCGAGCGGCGAGCGCGCTCTCGTCGCGGAGCGACGGGAAGCGCTCCGGGTTCGTTTCGCGCTCGATCTCGCGGAGTCAGCGCAAGGTCGGCCAATGCCGCGTTTTCCACCCGGAGTCCTTCGACACTTTCCTCGAGTCGCGAGAAGCTTTCCGCTCGCTTGTGAGAAACCCGCGTTTAATAAATATGCGATCGCCATTACGTATGACATGCTTAATTAACGCGCGCCGCGCCTTGCAATTAACGCGTCGAGACGGCGCGTGTGCTGCGGAAATTAAAAAGCTGCTTTTATTATCTCTCACTCTCTCTTTCCCTATTTTCCCTCGCTTCGTCGTCTAATAGTTTTTAATATTAATTTTTCACAATGTCGCGGTCAAGTAATTGTTTCTCACGTCGGAAAATTATAGTTTCCGTGATTTAACGTCGCTTTAACGGCGGCGCTTCGTAACAGACTTTATTCGCGACTTCTCTCGGATGCGTAATTGACTATTGAGTTATCATAAATAATTTTCGTTTCTTCCCCCCCTCTCCCACCCCCTCGAGTCTATTCTCGCGTATATGCAATATTTGATACACCGTAGAACTCCTAGCACTATATCCGTCACTTTGTTAATAAATGACTCGTGTGTTTTCATCTGATGGTCAGATTTGCTATCTGCGTGTGGGAAATTACGATTCCGTCCGATTTTACGGCGTAACGCACAGAATCGTTGCGAATACGAGGCCGAAAGATCGCAAGCGTGCATTCTAAGCGCGAATTTGCCTGTACCCGCGCGTTAATCTCGCTGCCTCTTTTTTTGCGCTCCGTGTTCACTCCTCCGTTAACATTATTTATTATGTATTGCCTGATTAGTTATCTGCTTGATAAACCATATTAATCGCACTACTACCGCTCACCGACTTTAGCGCGAAAGACTTCTCTGCCCCAGAAATATCGGCGGTGGCTACGAGTGGCCGCTTGGTGTAATCACTCCAACCGGTGCGCGCTGATCCGTTATGCAATTGCACGTCCTGCAGACGACGGCCCTCCTCGTAACGACGAGCGAATTAGGACAACGCGCGCCGAGGACGTTGTAATGCGCTTTAATGCTGATGCAGGCCTTCCTGCAATCTACGCCTCGTCCCGACGAACGTACGCGCACCGGCGCGCGCTGCCTCGCTCGCGGTGCCTCACTGCAATATATAAGGAGCATTTTATTCTAGTGAAAAGTGTAACGCGACGGTCGCATTACAAAATATATCGTTGCGCGTGCGTATGTGCGTGCGTACGTTCTGATTAATCCAGCGATATTTGTTAAATACGCAGATATGTATCGGTATCTAGGCATATTCGTTGATATCCGCTATTCGTTAGTCTAACGTATCGAAACCTATTGACTACATTTCACGAGAATTAGAACGTTCAAGTTTTATTCGAGCTCAATATTACTCGAGGTTACTCTTGCGGACTCGCTCGGAATTAATTCCGATCGGAGTTGTTTCATCATTCCCTGTAAAATGTAAGAGAAAATCTATAGGATAACTGAATAGTTCCAATCGGAATTCATTCTGAATAGTTCCATAGTATCTGCTTTGAACGGAATCATATGGGGGATGGGGGCTTTGTGGAATTATGAATTAACTAACGCCCGAAATTATCGTTTACTGGAAGCCGAATATGAAGAAAAAGTAAGAACATCTGTCTGGAAGTATCGAAAGGTGGGCGATATTCACGGGATGAATATATTTTTCTAAACGTATGTTATACGCGAGCCGACAACTCGGAACTGTACAACGTGAACGGTAAATTGTCAAACTGTGTCTTGATAATTCGCGGACTCTGAGACTCGGCAACAGTGCTGAAGTCAACTAAATTCTTTTTCTCTTTGAAAAGGAAAATTCCATTAATATATTCGTAAGTGTTATGTTTAAAATTTAATACCCCGCATATATCGAGATAATCGAGAAAATGTGAAGCAAGTTTGAAATATGAGTCCTCTTCTTTAAGCCCCGATACATGGAGAAAACGGCAGTAACTCACTTGAAACAACAAAGAACAATGGAGTCTGTATAATGTCGTACATCAAGATTCTCTATTGATTCCTCAAGTTCGATGGAATTCGCAGGGTTAAAACGTAGAGACGAATTCTCGATTCCGGATCGAGTTTACTTACGTTCGAGATGAAAACGGGCCCGACACTTGAGTATTCCATTTGCGTTCGTTAAGGCGATGCGATTGCGACGATGCGCTCGTGATGGCCTCGATGACCGGAAAAAAAAGAAGCATGAACGATGTCTAGGACGAAGAGACGCACGTTAATTTCTATTACTTACGCGAATCACGTGTCAATACGTGGATAAATCCCGCGCCAGCTATGGTGTCTGGCACGGATCCGCCTCTTTTTTTCTTTCCCCTTTTTTATTTCTCTCGCGCTAGCGTACTAAAAGTGTCGACGTTGGGAATTGCACAAGGTGCTAAACGTGCGTGCTAACAATTAGACTGAGCGCTCGTTGGAACACAAGGTGAAACAGATTTGCGAGTCGCACGCGTTAATCGGCGCCCGCGAAGGCGCATTTTGCCCGTCGCGTTGGAACGCGCTCCCGCGATAATGTGCGAACGACCGCTGTAAAGAACATTCAAACCGATCATTTCAAGACGTTGTGTTTCTTCTTCTCTCATTTTTACCGTACGGTAAAATATTGCCGAACGATTTAGATGGCACTCAATACTTGCGGATTATCGGCTCGAATTGTGGGACTCTCTCTCTCCCGTTTCTTACGAGCTGCTCGACACCTTCTTTACACCTCTTTTCTCGAAAAAGGCGAGTTTCTTAATTGATCTTTCTCTCGACTCGAGCGCGCTTCTCCTAGGGACGGCTTGCGCAACGGAACTGCAAACGAACAGTGAACACACGCGCACGTGCGTACAAAAAGCATTTACATAACGTCTGACAAACGGTTCGGTCACCTTGTTTAATTACACCTAATTTAAGCCTCTTATATGTGACACCATTACGTTATTGCGTGGATCATCCTTCAATTAAAGCGCAAGATCCGTCGAACCTGTGAACGAGCGAGTCGTCATGCGCGAGCTACGCGAATCTCAAGTACTACGAGACGTTCGACGACGGTACGTCCGCCTACGTGTTTCGAGGAGATGAGCGTGAGAGGAATGCGTCGCTTGGAATTGTTAGATAATTATCGGATGTACGAAGCGTGACGCCAAGCAGCCTCGCGAATTCGAGTCTGCGTTACACGGTATCGGCAATAAACGCGGTGTCGATACGAGCAGCGATCGCGATTCTATAAGGGCTCGCTTTCACGCGCGTTCCAAGCGGCGGAGAGGAGGAGGCCTTCCTCTCGCGGAGAAAGCGATACCGCTGCACACGTGCATGTGTAACGTGTAACTTCCTCGCTCACCGAGACGTCACCGCCGATGGGCGTAGGCGCCGGTGTGAGAGGCGCGCGAGATAATCCCCGCGTTCTTACGTAAGGTATGCGAATCGAGCCGAAAGCCGCTCGAAATACGCGATTTGTGGCTCGTAGCTGTGATCTTTTCCGCTTGAGTTACCAACTTGACCCCGTTACTGCATAAAAAAATTACCGTATATCGCGCTGAGTCATGAATAACTTCCGCCGTTTTTTCCATCTCTCTTCTTTCTCGCGCGAAATACTTGGAAATTGAGCCTGATCTAACGTGCATACTCGCCGTTATTAATAACGATTCGCGCGTTCCCCCCCAACTGATAGAGCCCTGCTCTTTCGTCCGCGGCGAAGAAATAAATACTCGCGTCTTCCTGCGCCGCCCTCACGCGGAGCGCGATATTTTTAAACCGTATGACACGGAGGGCTCGTGCTTCTCGAAGAGAAGGAGGGAAGAAGGAAAGAAAGAGAGAGATACATAACGACTGTCTCCGTGAAGATCTCGGGGCAATGGCCCGTCAAGGTCGCATTGCGACTGCACGCACGGACGCACTCCCCTGAGGTGGCGAGCGTCCGCGATGGTGTGCGAGGAAGAAGCACTTCCACCAGGTAGAAACGCCTAACCTTAACGATCGTTCGCCGGAGACTGACCTTCGTGACGTAACCGAGCGAGAAAACCGCGCGAATCCGCACGCCAGTTCTTCTATTACACGCGCCAAGCAAATTACACAGTCCTGGAAGGTGCTTGCGTTTCAGGTGCGAGACAGGACAGGCAGGGGCGAAACGATAAGACCGGCCATTAAACTGCCACCGCCGGGGAACTTCGATCGCCCGTTGCGACTATCACGAGTTAACGATTAAGTTCAAGCTTTTTGCTCGCGCCTCCAGAAATGTGCACACGCTAATGGAAAAGGTGACTTATCCTCAGCATCTGGTTACGCAGCTACGGGTATTCAATACACTCACGCTACGCGTGAAGTACTCGAGCCGCATAAACTCGAATCGAAATTGCTTGATGCTTTACTCCGACGCTCTTAAGGATAGTTTGCGCCTACTAATAAAAACCTACTTTGACGATAGTGACAATTTTTAACTTCTCTCTTGAACTTTTCATTCTACAGATTGAATTCTAATGCTACCTTCATAGCCTATTTTGACGCTAAAACAGAAATTTAAGACATCGTCAGGGTCAAAATACGGGTTATATTATATTATTAGAATTGAAATTGAACTTATTTTTCCATCTCAGCTCCTTGTGTCGTAGAATTAAAGATTTAACACAGGGGCAAAATTTCGACTCGGAATTGCCTCTTATCGTTCCCTCCTCCTCTTTTCACGCCGACTCCCGCCGATTTCCTGCCGACCGATCGAGTTTGCGTTGAAGCAAATTTATATCGTTACTTCCCGAGCTTTCTCCGCGATGTAAGATGCAGTTTTACAGCGCCAGAGGTGATATATCTGCGGACAGTTAATCAATTCGAGACGATTGAGGCCTCCATTTCCATCACGTGCATTATCGTTACCCACGCCCTCTCCCTCGGGCATAAAATAACGCTCGACTCACCGGTGGCGAGTGAAATTGTCAAAGTGCTAAATCTCACGGTGGTCTCGTGCCTAGAGTTGAATTTCCGTTGCAAGGTGCGGTTAGAGAGTCGCGGGGAAAAAAGAAAGGTAGACGCACCGTAGTGCCAGGGCGAAAAGCAGGCGCCTGCGTTGGACACGCGCCAACTATTTTGAGCCCCACAATAGAAATCTTATCGTCCGTTGCTCTCACGGACAGCCGTGGAACGCGGCGGTGGCCGGCGCTGACTTCACACGAAAGGCATTGCAGGCTGAATTTCAAGCGTAGAAAGGATCTATTGTCGATGCGCGAGCGACTCGCCCGAGTTCCACGTTTTTTTTTTCGGCAAAAATAACGGGAGAGTTCCTCGGTCCGTCGCGGATTATGGTAAATACGGCGATTAACGGCGGTTTAATAAGCGCGACTGCGCGAAAAACTGTGCGTAGATTTCCGAAGACCGAGACACGTTATATTTCCGATTACGAAATGTGTTTCACGATGCAGGCCGAACCGGTCTCAACTTTGTTGTTAAACGCAGTCGCGACTTATTTTAATCCTGGCACGGCTGTATCACGTTATATAATTTATGACGTGATTAATTGCGGTAGTAGTTCAGTGGTGGAACGGTCTACTGCAAATTTCGACGACGTAATCGATACAAAGTGCTACGGATTACGGGCAAATTAACTCCGTCATATTAGAGTGAACAACATTTATAATCTCTTATTGAGGTTAATGTCGATTATAGGGAAACATAATAACGCGTTAGCCCGCGGAGCTGCAGTTAGGATTGAAACTGCGCAATTTTCATGTGAACGCTCGCGTTAAATCCTCTTGCATGCGAGTGATAATTAATACTTAGAATATTAAGAAAACCCGAGATGGAATTTCGATCCTATGTTAAACCTTTAATCAGAATAGCATCAAAACTTCGACTCGGGAAGGAGTCAAATTTTCATTTAAGCACGCCCTTAAAGTCTCGGACATTTTTCTTCGATACTCTGTATAAATCTCATTAGATAAATTATTCTCAGCTCTCCCGCACACAAATGGTCGAGAAACGAAGTTAGTGGCGATTGTTATTAATGATTTTATTAGCGGTCATGAAGCGTAATAAATATCGGGATCGTGCGGAGTGAGAACGCTGCGGAAAGCAGACTTCGTCTGACGACCTTTGAGATTCGCTTTCGAGGCATCGAGCCGCCTCAATGTCGAAGGCAGCTCGGCGCGAGATACTTAGTGCTTGCATACCGATCGAGGACAAGTCGTGACGCGAATCGCGAACCGGCCTCAATGACCTTTGCGCGTTCACTCGCGCTTTCACGACGCATTCGCGAGCCCTTTGATAGATCAGGGATCTTGGAGGGCTCGCTTATCGCGCAGCGATCACGAGAAAACGCGCCTGAGAAAAGCAAAACTTGATCAAGATATCTTATCTTAGAGAATTTGGAACATTTCGATGCGTGGAAACCGCGAGAAACCTGACAAAATTGCAAATTTAAGTGAATGTTAACGTTTAATTGATTTAATTTAACTGTCGAATGACAAAGTCGGGTCGCATTCGATCGGATCCAACGCCTTCGCGCACGCGCTTATGAAGCTTTATATTTTAGGTATATTACATATTTTGCGATATATTTATTTTTACATATTTTCTAACTTATCGTGAGAATAAAAAGTGTCTGGTTGAGAAAATTAGTCGAAAAGTTACAAAATGCTCCCACCGATCAAATCCGACCTTGCTATATATGAACCTTGTTATTCCAGGATCAATGTTGTGTATGCGTGTGAGCGATTTTTATATTATTAGAATTTCTAATTAATTTTTGTGCTCATTGAGCTCCATCTCTCTCGGAGATAAGGCTCCTTCGATCCAGTTTGCTAAAATCCAGTAAAAGTTGACCGACGGAAGGGGAATGCTGGCATTCTGAATCGCGCGTTTTCCCAACTTTCGAATCGCTAGTACCGTGACAGAAACGACGACTTCGGCTCCGCAACCGAAGAAATTCCGTCGAGTTCCGGTATATGAAGGATCTCTTGCGATCGCGTCGCGTCCGCCGTGTAGGAATATCGTTTCCGCTCTGACGGTCGCGACTTTCCGACTTTCACGGAATCGGCCGCGGCGATACCGGATTGGCCAATTTGGGATTAATGTGGCTATCCGCCGTGAGGGATGACGATTTTCTTTCCATCCGCGATTTATTAATTCTCGTTATGAGAATCGTCGTTGCGAGGGATCGGCTAACCCAAGATTAATAATGGGGAAGTAAGGACCGCCTGTATCGTCTCGTGATTTACGAGGTTCTCGCGCGACAGCGGAGAAGTGTATGATAAATAAGAGCTGAGCCGAATCGTGTGCCTAGCGCTCGAAAAGACATCTTTAATTATCTTGTCATTCGTTCGATTAAGTATGTAAACGATTCCTCTCGAATGCCCGCAAATATTGACGGAATAAATATTTGTAGGAAGCACACCCGTAGAAATTCCCAAGCCGAATGATTATTTCGCGATTCCATCAATATGTATGGACATTCAAGAGCTTCGCGACTTCTGTCTCTTTATTTGAGATCCGGGAACTCCGAATTCGGTGATAACAAAGGTATCGCCTTGACGTTTCTATAATTCTACGGTGTCGTTATTATTAGAATATAATCGAATCACCTATCCTCGCTTCGCGACACTTTGGATTTATCGGACGACCGATGTGTCGCGGCTGCGTCCTCACAACGCCTTGGCAACGGAGCAAAGAGCGACACGGACAAATAGACGTGATTTGTCGCGTAAAACGCGACGCGTGACGTTGATATTCGGCGCACGTAGGCCGCATCGCGGCTCGGAGGATAATTTAATCAGCGTTGCATCGTAAGGATGACTTTTGGCTACTCGTTTATGCATATAACATCCGTCGGATGTCAGTCCTACGGACTCTCAGGGTCGTGGAATGTTCGTCATTAATAACCATGAGTTCAAGCGTATCCGCCTTGCGTTTTCGTCATTCAGCACGTAGGACATAATTTACGACTAGCGCGCAAGACCGATTGCGTGGGCGCAATCGATTGTACGGTTTTACATTCTAGCGATCGCTATACGGAATTTTACGCTTTTCGCATTCGCTGTCGGCTGAACGAGGTAATTTAAGAAGCCACGTGTGCTAATCCTCTCGAGGAACAAGATCAGTCGGCATGCAATTTTAATCGATTCTAAATTCACCGAGGAAAATCTGTCGTTAAAATAAAGCTCGCGAAAAGTCGCGGTTTAACGAGATCCACTGAGCGCGATGAATACGCTGGAGAAATAAAATTCAATTGTATCGTAACGGGGGAGAGGGGGATTAATATGCGGCCCGCGTTCGGCGTCATTTGAAAAGTCGATCACCGGCGTAACGTTGCAATCGCCGTGAAATATTTCTATCTAAGTGGTCCGGTGAAGCAATCACCATGCGAGACGCAACGAGCACATAACACGCGCCATTATAGGCCATACAAAGAGACGAGCCGTGGATCTAAATTGGTTTCGTCAATCGTTGATCCGTTTGCCCGTACGAACAGCGGAACGAAATGCGGTGCACGTGCACCGACCGTTGCGACAGACGACAACGGCGACAACGACAACAACAGTGACGACGATTCGCCGAACGAGAGCGCATACGGATGCTGCGACGCCACACGAAAGTAGCTTGAAGTCGCCTCGTTAATTTTACAACACCCATCGGCGATGAGTCTCGCGCGAACCGTTTAAACTCGACTCGACGGCGAAAGGGAAAGGGGTATCCAAACCAATTCTCAAGTTTTATAGACAATGCGCCACTTATCCGAGAGAGAAAGCCGCAAACCATTTTTTCCTCACATTCGTTCTGCGTATCGTAATAATGCACTCGCAAATAGCATCGATTTTACAATGCTGCCGGCCTTGACACATATAGCTTTTTCAAGGAGAAATGATGATTCCCTGAAAACAACAGCGAGACAAATGCTTCGGCCGATTTTACCAGCTCCGATCGTTGCGCGCCTCTCGGAAATTTAGTGCGGAGAATTTTTGCTTTGTTAATTACTCGAAAACTTTTCTATAAAGTGGCATTTTTGCCGAGGAAAAACTGACTTCGAAGCGGCCGGCGAGCTCTCATCGTGCCAAGAAGTGGAAGTGTGATAGTGCAACAAACGTGTTATTACGCGACTCGCTCGTGCATCTCCCCGGACTCCTCCTAAACACGGTAAGTCGAATTTCGTTCGAAATCTCGCTCGGGGTATCGTGTTCACTTTCGGATGATCACGACACCAAGTACGGTCTTGCGAGAGCTATCGAGCGCGAAATTGAAGTCCAGACCCGGGCCCCGCCTTAATTCGGGGGGCCTCCGAGATTGAAGCACACAATCTTCGTCGGCGGCGAGGACGAGCGGAGTCACCGGGTATGTTGGCAAAGTACACGCGACGCTAGTCATTATTTCGCGGTTTTGTAAGAAGACCCGCGACCGACATTATGCAATTTTGCGACGAGCCTCTTTAATTCCCCGTCGAGTCGCTGCGCGCGCAAATTTCGCGCGCGGATTCGTAGGACGCGCCGTTTAACAATTTCGCGAATCAACACTCTTTAGTGCACACATTTTTCTAGAAATTTCAATTTTTTTTTTTCAGTAATTACTCATGATCTTAGGAATTTTGGAGAAATATTTAAAAATATCCTTTTTTGTATATTCGGCCTTTTACCGACGGTGAAAGCGCGAAATACGTTTGAACAACGTGCTTTGCAGATGCAGGAACCCGCGCGTTTACACTTCGAATTTCAACGGGGACTGAAGATTGAGCATCAATACAGCTTTGTACATATGCAAAGCGACGCGCTAAGAAGTTAAGAGTACAATCGACACAATTGACGAATTAAAATCCAAATGCGTGCGGAAAAAGGATGCTTCTCGCATTTCATGTACTGTTCTTAACAGCAATCGCGTAATTTTTCTCTAGGGCGAAACGTGAAAAACTTCACGTGAACTCGGAGATTTTAGCGATCGTGTAACTTTTCGAATCGTGAGAGTGTCTGAGAGACGTTTTTGGAAGACGTCTTAAAGACATTTTAAGTAAATAAGATTTTTCAGACATCTTACGTCCCGATTTAAGACGTCGTCTGGGATTTGTTCACATTTGATTTTACGCGATCTTGTGCCGTTTCTTCCATGCCTTAAATTAATCAGTTCGTTTTATATCCGATATGAACTCTCAAATGAAACATACGACCTCGCACGCAAAAGACACGCTACTTACTGTAGTATTTACTTAATCGGTACTTACCGACATCTTGTTCGCCGTGTCCACAGTACTTGAGCATAGAACGCAGCGATTCGAGGTTCGAATCGTCGTGAGGCGATGCGACTTCTCGTCCGGTACTCTTCACTCTCGATCATCCGCATGCGAACGTCTCCCTCGAACGCAGATTGAAAGAGAAAAACGCAGCGATCTGAAGACGCGAACTTCGAACTGTCCTGTCGACGAACGCGCGGCACGTCACTCGGCACTCTCAACGGTCCCCGTTCGCAAAATGTCTTCACTCTTGACTTTGATCGTTTCGCGAAATCTCCTCCGCAGGAACGCGCGAAACACTTTCGGCACTCCCGAGGCAGAGAGAATTTGCGAAGCTCTCTCGCCGCGAGCCGAAAAGCGTGAAATACAGGACGACTTTTCGGCTCCGCACCGTAGCGTCGCGATCCGTCCCGTAACTGATCGCCATGTTGCAACGATTGTGATTCTCGAAGAGTTATGCGCGCCAACTTCACTCAGCACCCCCGACCAGCCGTTCGCTCTTGGCGGCTTTTCGACGATGCTTCGCCACGCGACGACACGCGAAGCTTTCGGCGTTTCCAGCGATATTTTGAGCGCGAGATTCACCTTCGGCGAAAGCCTAAATTGTGGGGCGATTTGTGGAACGTTGAACTGCCGAGAATACAGCGGACGCGCGATACCCCGCTTTATCATCGCGAAATTTGCGTTCAGCGACCGTTTGACTTTGTCGTAGTAAACTCACGATACTTACTTTCGACATTCCCGATGGGGATAACCGGCGCGTGAGACTCATCTTCGATACGTTTGAGCCGAAATCGCGGGAGAAGCGGCACGGTTTTCCGTATTCAACTGCCGAGCCGCCATTGCGGCGGTTGCAACTGTCGAAGCGTTGATATCGATACATCTTTATCGATACATTCGATACGAGGCGTATCTCGCGCGAAATCTCGATTGATAATTATCGTTCCGAAATAATAATCAATTTAAGAATAATCAGTAACGCTACCGGCTATTGCTTGAATATCGGCAGCGACTCCCACGAGTCCCACGAGGTTATCGAACTTCTAAAGATGTCTCGTCGATAATTCAACGTTCTTCATATTTTCACAATTTTTATCACCATACGGCAGTTATCCGTTCACAGATGGCGTTAAAGTATGGCTGCGATTTTATCGACAGAGTAGGAGAGCCAGAGTAGTCGCGATACCGTTCGCGATCCCCGTAATTGTCACGTTAATTATCGTCAGAATTTCGCATTGTTTAAAGAACAATTTGTAATTACCGTTAACGAGTCAATCAAATCGTATTACGCTCCTCTGACCACACTCGACCGTTTTATTTATACAAAGAAACAGTACTTTTGTAGATATACGCCGAAAATTCGTACATATACCAAATATATCGAACCTAACCTCCAGACGCGAGAATATTTTTTCAGGTTAGGTGACAGAATAGTTTTTGTATACCGCTACACATTTCATAGTTTTAAAGATACGTACGAAAAGATGCCTGCACCGAATTCCATCAACGTAGCTGTTATTTGTTCGAGTAATATGAACAGAAGCATGGAAGCGCACGCTTTCTTGAGGTAATCGATCGCGCGATTAACCCATTGGAATCAACGATGAATCCATCGATGACTTAAATCGTCGCAGTTGTTTTTTCGCGTAGAGAATTAACGTTCGCTCTCATTGTCCTAAAAACATTGCAGATTCGACTCAGAGATTTTTTTCAAGAGAAAAAAAAATTGAGGATTGAAGACTTCATTGCGTTAACCAAGATTCACTATCTAAACTCAAAGTAAACTCGAAGTATATTTGAAAATACAACTGTTTCAGCAAAAAGGGATTCAACGTGAAGTCGTTCGGAACTGGAGATAAGGTGAAGCTGCCTGGGAACGCGCCGGACCGTCCTAATATTTATGACTTTGGGACATCATACGACGAGATCTACAATGATCTATTAGCGAAAGACAAACAATAGTATCCTTGACATAAATAAGCTTTTGCATATTTCTTGCATTATATATGTGATATTGAAAATATAGATCTGTCCTGCTCCTTGTTACCTTTGCAATTTGCACACTGAGCTAGTAGTTTAGATTGACTATCCTTTGTATGTACGTTGCTTTTTTTACTTTATGATATATATAAAAGTTTTTATCATTTTTATGTAAAGTATCCTGTAAAGAGAATTGGTTTATTAGGGCAATCAATAACATTCCTTATTTAAATCTCCAAACTTGTGATTTATGACACACGAGGTTTGTTTTCTCTTCTGACATTCACTGATATTCAATATTAAAAACATATATATATATATATATATTTATTTATTAGATTTTCAGTACTGGCAGCGAATATCGAACTTCTTGAACTAATACAGCTAATTCAGGAATGGAAAACAAACCTACGATTACCAATCAATAAAAGTGCATTCCTGAACAATCAATACAGTTATACACAGAACGGTTTATTGCACATGTTGGACAGAAACCGTCGGATAAAACCTAGGCCAGAACGGTTTCAACTGTCAAAGGATAAGTTTGACATTCTGATCACTTGCGAGGAGCGTGTATACGATCAGGTGATTGAATGTATGGAATCTAGGACTCAGGAAGAGAATCAACCTGCACACTTAATCAATATTGATATTCAAGATAATCATGAAGAGGCCACCGTAGGATCATTTCTTATATGCGAACTAGTTACAGTGGTATTCCACATTTTTTATATGTTTCATATGTTTACGATCTATCTTATTTCTGCTATATTCACGCGATGACATGATGTATTTTTGTGTTTCAGCTGGCTAATAGCGAGGACTTAGACAATGACATAGATGAATTACTTCACGAATTCGAGTCGAAATTCTCGAGAACGATATTGCACACTGTACTGTTTTACTGAAAATCTGATAACCCGTGAGAACGGCCATCTGGAAGATGGTGTTCTTTGAACCTCACATACAAGCTTATTTATGAGAGAGAAGTTATATATATATACATATATATATATATATATATAAAGTTAAATACATTTTGCCGCGTATAATCTCATCCATCGGACCGTGTGAACATTCTGAAATGAATGAAGAGAATTCAATTCGTGCTTCCTACTTGACAAACAATTATTTAAATTTATTCAAAATCTGATTTGCGCGGAATGTAATCTCTACGGTTTATTGCCGAGATTGATTACGGGTTGATTGGTTACGGGAGATTGGTTACGGGTGAAATATCGTCATGCCGCGAGATTCGCAGCGGTACACCGTACAGCTGCGATCGAGCGCAGTCTGCCGGCTGTTGTGTGGTGCCGAATTTTAGTATGATATATCTGAGTAATCTGTTAGGGAAGTAATAAAATACGGAGAACGAGAGAGAGAAAGAAAGAGAGATAAAAAAGTATAAGATATCACTTTCGCAAATCAACTAGATTTTAGCATATGTACATATATTGTGTATAACAGATACAGTGTACAGAATATTAATTCCGTGCCCTTACACAATCTGTAGTTATATCGCAGATATAATTACAATCATATTGCAATTATATACGAGTTGAAACATAATAGAACTTTACGGTGATATTTCCGCGCGCGTCTCACGCTCAGTGTTGGTCGAGATGAGCGTATAATCTTCGTCCTTTTTCGCGCTTCTTCTTATTGGCGTGTTTGTTTATCAGCTTCCATGGCTTTTCATGGAGCGACAGACTTTGCGTGGATCCGACTTTTGACTCAGCAACTCTGAAAATCGATTGGGAGAGATTGCATTTATCTGTCAATTTTATACCAAACTACAAGAGAAAGAGAGAGAAATAGATAGACATAAACGCCTCGACGTTTAGATGCATGCGAAGCGAAGCGTCGTCCGGGCATTTCAATTTCGCTGCGTTTTATTTGATTAAGTGATTCATTTTCCAAGTTTATAGAACCTATAACTGTTGCCAATATACACGACTGGTCTTACGAATCGTATTCCTTGCAACTGTTTAACAGTTACTGCTCGAGACTTATTAACGTCCTATGGCGAATCCTTTAAGGACGGACCACTCAAATGATACAATTTGCGACTACGTTTACAATACGTCTTAATATAAGATTACCGAGAAGACTCGCGGCGTGAAAAGTTTAATAAGCGAAGTGAGCGTTTTTGGTACATACGTAGACAACGAACGTTGCGGCACGGGTCGTCCGCCGAGGGCCCCTTTCATGTGTACACCGGACGATATATCTCGGAAGAACATACGGTTGAACTCCTCCTCCGTTATCTGACTACCTTTGTTCACTCTGACCGCTCTGGGCGGTATGTGCCTGTTCGCGGAGAAAAGCCGACGCCGCGGCGGGAACGCGTGGAAATGTTCTTGCTCGCGCGTCGGTGGTGCGACGCAGTACAACAGCCTGCCATTAACGAAATCCTTAAGAACGTATCTCGCTGAACGAGCATTGTCCGGCTGGCCGTTCTGTGTCATAAAACCTCTGTTATCTGCAATCAAGATGGGAAAGAGAACACTTATATACAATAATTATCATTATGGGATACATATTGTGCACATGCTCAGGTAGCAGTTGGTTTCGCACACGCTTTTCAAATGTATGCGAAACCAACGTGTGCTACCCGAGTGGATACAAATGTACGGGATACGTAGATGTACATGGAATCAATTAAGAGCACAGTTCCACTGTGTGTGCGTACGATTTATATCATATTAAATGAAATTGACTAAAAAACACTAATAAAAGAATAAATGAGAAACGAGTCGTGGCGTTATTACATAAATACGAGCACAAAGCTGATTAAGCGCGGCACGGATCTCTTTCGGATATTACGACGATATGCGTGGATTAATTTGAAAAGCTTAATTTGAGAAGACTAAAAAAATTTTTGGAAAAATTTACGTACAACCGTGTGCGTTTAGAAGCTCATCCGTGTTCAGTGGACGGTCGGTATCTTTCTCCGATGGAACGGGTAAGATAAGGCCGTACAGATCCTCCAGGATGTGTCTGGGTATCAGAGTGGTTAACAACGTGACCGGCGGCACATGGTCCCGCATCTGATCGATCGGCAGTATGCCGTTCAGGATCATCTCCGCTTTCGTGCTGATGAAGCTTGGCGTCACCAATCCTGGACAATCGCACAGCATCAGATCTGTGTCCAGGTACAGCGTCTGGAAGTGCTTGGTCTTGCCTGGCGTGGCGGACACGGAGACTTTTTTGTCCATCAGCAGTGCATTGATAGTGGAACTCTTGCCGACATTTGGATAGCCTACCAAGCCGATCGTCGTCACCCCCTTCGTGTGTGTCTCACCCTTATATATCGTCTTTAATAATTCAATAAGATCGCCCCTGTTTAACAGTTCCGACGAATTAACAACTCTCTTCTCTCCAGTTTCGCGCTCGGAATTAATTGTTGTCTCAATTTCTTCTTTCCCGTTCTCTGAGCCCGTTGCGGAGATTCGTAATCTTTCTAAAGCATCCTCCGGAGCTTCCGCTCGTTTCTCCTTCTCAGTTTCCGTTTTGGGTGCGGCGATCAGGTCGCTGTTATCGTCGGCGCTCTCGTATTCCGATTCCGACATGAATTCCGAATTGTAGACCGACTCGTCGGTTTCGCTCTCTTCTTCGTCAGTACGGTCGTCCTCGTAATTCTTATCGTTTGAATTCACCTCATCTTCGTTCTCCTCTTCCTTGATTTTCTCCGCTGATAATAACGCGGAGAAAAAGGCTACTCGTACATTTATATCGGCGAAGTACTTCGCCCATGCCTCTCTTTGCTCGTTCGTTAGAAAGTCCGCTTTATTGATGAGGATCATGTTCAATTTCTCGCCGTTGACTTCCTTGACGTAACATTCCAGGTCCTCGCAGCGGAAGAGCAATGGATTGCGCGCGTCCACGATTTGTACGACGACATCGCTGCGCTCAACGACCCTCCACAGTTGTCGCCAGAACTCCAAGTTCTTCTCGAAAGGCGTCAACAATATTCCTTCGGTGTCCTGTAACTCGGCAAGAGAACGTCTCCATTGCAAGAACGTCTCCTTCTCACGACTCAGCAACTCTTGAGCGGTGGTGGAACTGTCCCATTTTGGTCTCCTCGGTATCTTCAAGAGATCCCTATTTTCCTTCTGCGACTTCAGGATCTTGTCTTGCTCGGCCTTTGTGAGCAAACCACTCTTGGAATTCACAAACCTGACATTTAATTTCTCCGCTTGGAACTCGGTCCCCGCAAGTTCCGCGGTCGCCAGAAACTCTTGGAAGGAACTTTCCTCTGTAACCGATTGCAAATTCAAGCGGCCCCAGTCATAACCGTCATTGATTTCTGAAGTATGGAGCTACAGAAAGAAAGGCAAATCAATAACAATATCAACAGCACTTATTAGTAACAGACCTATCCAGTAGCTTGCAGACAATGAAAATTATAATAATGATGATAAATAATGAGGGTCAAATAACAACGTGTGAAGATTTAAGCGAAGAGATTAAGCAAGATCCATGATATTACCATAGACGGTTCGTTGCTGTTCCTTTTAACTTTCCGGGCTCCAAAACGATCTCTGATTAAAGATTTTCCCAGGATGTTACCCCCCTTGCCCCTTTTCCCCATGATGTTAGATCCAATTAACTTTTTCCAAAAGTACACACGCGTAACACAATAACGTAGAGGTTATGTTGTTTACAAAGCGTTAAACCTGTCACACTTCACGTGTTGGAAATCGACAATTGCCTGTTGGACCAATCAGGACGGAGTGTGCCGGCGCCTGAAATCACTACGCCGGAGATAGGGACATTCGTTTCCCGCAGGCGGGGATGTCGCTGGTTCAAGTCTCTAGAATATAAAGTTACCGTACACACGGTATATATCGCCCCGCTGCGTCGTTCACACATATACCCACGCAGGGTGCGTTACACACTGCCCACGCACGAAGGCACACGCGACATTCACGCGAAGGAGCGACGTCTCCCGACCGTCACGCTGCCGCATCCGGCCGCGTCGTTATAAATATTTTCCGTCTCCCAGCGCGTAGGCGCGTGCACACGGTGTTACCGCACGTTTTAGACACCACGTATATACGTAACACGTCCGTTCGCGTCAATTAAACAGTCAGTTAGTCATCCGGACAAACAGTCGGCTCGGTCGGTCGGTCGGTCGGTCGGTTGGTTGGTTAGTCAGTCGCGCCGCTGTCTGCGAGAACGGTGCGTGGAGTCCTTTAGCTTCGCGTCGTGGATACAATCGCCCTATTCCGTTCTTCCTTTGCTCCTTCGACGCCTTCTCCTCGTCATCGTCACCGTCATCGCTGCGATACCTTCAGCGAGGCCCTTGCATCAGTACGAGAGAGACGCAATGTCGAGCCACGATCCGATGTTGATAGCTACGGACGAGATCGACGGTATATGGCCATTCCTGCAGAGTGTGAGTGGTCATCCTTGCCGCTTTATCCTTTTAACCCTCCAGCTGGTCGTTGGAACGCGAGATACAGCCTCGTACGTGTAAGGCACAGGCCTACCTTCGTCGTGGATCACGCGTTCCCCCGGCCACATGTGTGCGCTCACACACGCGTATCTCGTATTTCCCTGCTTGTTCCTCCGAGCGTGTCGGTTACATCAACGTGTCAACAGTTCGAGAGATTGTTTTTATGCACGACGGAAATAAAACCGCGACTAATTAGATTTTCCCCGTTGCGCGAAGTCACGTTCTCGAGGAGGTCGGAGCGAGCGATACGAGGTATAATTTGAAACCGTCCTGACTCCGTACAAAAAGTATGAATATGCCTCCGCATTTTATTGCGATACACGGACTCGGAGCGTTCTCGAAACACACACAAGTGTTTCTCGCCCGGAGTCCTCGCTCGTTTAAATTCTTATGCTCGATGTGCCGTATCGTTACGTTCATGCACGCGAAACATCGATGCACGCTGCTAAATATGAAACACGAATACCAATGAGTCTTCATCTATAGGACTATGCTTAAGTTATATCTTCCGCGCTATTTCCCTCATCTGTGTTATAATCGGGGTCGCGGGCTAAAGAGGTGTGTGAAAATCGAGCTGCTGCTGTCGCACGAGATTTCCCCCCCTCTTCTCGAAATTTGTTCTTTTTCAGCGTCGCTCGTATCCTTCATGGGCGAAACGGGACAAAGAGAGACGTGGAATTCGAAGGGAGAAACGCGAGGGAAGAGAGAGAACGAATGCGATCTCGAGTACGAAATAGCAATAACTTCTCTCTCTCTCTCTCTCTCTCTCTTGGCTTCGCCAGTACTCGGACGCGTTCGTTGCAAATTTCCGCGCTCTCTGCAATTGAAATACCGACGGAAGCGTATTGAAATTTTGCTGGCGCAATGATACGGGAGGGAGCGATGCGATTCCGGGAATTCGGCTCTCAGCTGATGACCGACGATATTTCTGCCGTCCGGATTGCGCCGTCAAGCGGAGCAATTATCTCCGCGCTCTCCGAAAGTCTCGTCTGTGTAACGAGCATGCAACAACCCACAGAAATATCCAAAACGCACATCGGTGTTTCCTGAAAAGATATCGCGGTATCTTCAGGATATCCCTGTGATGTATTTTCTTTATGTGCTTTTTAAGGTTCTTTATGTGCAAACGAGGGGGGGNGGGGGGGGGGAGGAGAGGGTAAACATTGTTGCGACGCGGCGCGATGCATTCCGATAGTCGCGCGTTCTACATACCCGGCCGGCACGCTTGCACTTTCGGTTTCGACGGAGCTTGCCGACGGCCGCGCGCCCGAGAGTCCAGAACCGCGTGTTGCGTCTCCGATTAATTGGTCCCTACTTGACGCGTTTATCTTATCGTCGCGACTGCCGCGGCGGCGGCACGTGCATCCGACGACGGCTCTGATTTTTCGCAGCGGCCTGCCCGTTGGCAAAGGTTTGACGAATAAGAAAAATTTCCGCGCGAAACATCCGGATGTGCACGTGTCGCGCCGATGGTAATCGTCATATCCGGCGTGGTGTCCTATTTTCGTCGAGTTTGCTCAAGGACGAACGCGCCGAGAGAGAGAGAGAGAGAGAGAGAGAGAGACGACCGGGTCCTCGCGAGAAGTGACGTGCACGCTCGCGTATCTCTCGCTCCCCAGGATGTACCCGAATATTTTCGGGTCGTGTATCAGCATCTCCCGCGTCCTTGGAAGTAAACATTCCCGTCGGGATCCGGTTTCTTCTTCCACTCGTTCGCGTGCGAGCACGATTCAAGCTCGCTCGTACGAATAAATCGACGATGCGGGAGGGGATGCGCGCGTGTTTATTACGCATCGTTTACTCTCCCGAATCAGCTCCCGAGAGCAATCAGGAGAAACTGCTGTAATAGATAAGATACAGTACACTTTGTGCGCTATTATCTCCGCCAGACGTTCAAAAATTCCGTTCCTCCTTCTGTCATTCTACTTTCTTTTTCTCAATACGATTCGCGTCAGATCAAGATTGATTTCGCACGTGTTATCACGTAGGCGTACGCATCTTTTCCTGTTGCAGATCGATTGGAGAGATCCATGGTTAGCCGTGCTGTTGACTTTTCACATTGCCATCACGATGACCGCATTAATGACCAGGAATCATGCGAACTTTCAGATAATTCTGTTCCTTGTGCTCCGTAAGTTCACTCGCAGTCGTTCACTGTCGCGTCACTCTGATTAGTTTTATCTATAAATGTTAATTTTATTCCTTTTATCAGCATCTAACCTCAAGCTGATCTCTCTCTCTCTCTCTATTTCAGTGCTTCTCGTTTATTTCTCGGAAAGCATTAATGAGGTAGCTGCGACTAATTGGATGTAGGTATTCGTCACGGTCGAGAAAAAATAAATAAATAAATAAAACGCGGAACGATGTGTCTCGAAGCGCTTCGTTCGCAACGAATCCCGCTCCCGAAGCGCCGTTTAATTGGCTCAATCGTTTTCACAGGGTCTTCTCTAGGCAGCAATATTTCGATTCCAAAGGCTTGTTCATATCCATCGTTTTCTCCGTACCCATCCTAATGAATTGTATGATCATGGTGGTAAGTGTACAATAACCAACATAGTATCGTAAATCTAACCGTGGTAACTGATTCGAGCTAACAACACGCCCCTCGAATATCGACTGCACGCGCCGACGATTTTTCAGGCCAGTTGGCTTTACCAGTCCAGTCAATTGATGACAAGCCTAAAGCGAGCCCAGCTGCGACAGCGGGCGAAAAATCGCCAATTGGACGGTGAGGCGTCGAACGGCAGGGCCAACCGGCCGAAGCAGGAATGAAAACCGGGGATCTAGTCATCGTCGCGGACAGGGAGAGGGCAACATGATAGGAATACGGAGATGAGATACGTTAATTTAATTTAAGGACAAAAAGCGCGGACTCTCTATACTATATATTTACACGTTGACTTAAAAGGAAAGCTAGATAGGTTTCACCAGAGCGCGCTGTGTGTATTGCTCGCCCGTGTCAAGGTACAGAGGGGAAGGAGGCGGGGGAGAAATCAAAGAGAAGACGATGTGACGATGATAAACACGCAATATACGAGCGGCTGATGCGACGGCGTATATACGTTTTCGGCTTCCAAGCAGCGACACGCCCCCCTTTCGCCTTGCCGTCGCTTACGGGCCTGCCGTGTGTAACTTTGGCCATCGCCGGTTAATCGGCCGCAGTCTCGATTGCGAAATAACGCTTTTAATCAATTTGACATTTTGGAGGAGGAAGGAGCGAAGCACGGAGTATCGAAGCGTATCAAAGTAATAGCGCGCGTCGGAACTGCCTAGTCAAGCCATCCGTTAGGACGGTATCTCTTCCATCGTCGGACATTGTGCCGTAATCACAACGATTTCGCGAAATTGACTCGGCTAGGAGCGAACGTGAAATTAAGAGAGAGAGAGAGAGAGAAAGAGAGAGAGATAATCAGCCGCGCGCGACGAACAATAATTGCGCGCGGACGCGCGATATTAGCGCGATGCTGTTACCTTACCGTTTAATTAAGGGACATTCCGGTAGTTAATTTTCGTTTGTTTTGATATATATTGAGATGCTGGTCGTGAATCAAAGTGTTCTTAAATGTTGTATAATTAACGTACTTATATCGCATAATAATAATAGCGCAAGTGTGTGTGTGTGTGTATATGTATGTGTGTCACTTTCGCCGTAAAACAGCTCTGCTATAAGGAGCCGAGGTATATATATAAATATGATGTAATTAAGGGCCCTAGCGCATAATAAAACTGTGTGTATGCCTGCGTGCGTTCGTGCGTGTGTGCCTGGGTGCATATTGTGAGTAAGCATATTGTGAGAATACGCGCGTGTGGGTTGACAGTTCTCAGAGGAAGTAGCAAGATGTCAGAGTAGACGAGCATCGCGTGCATTGTTATCGCGTGTCAAGCTTTCCTAAGTTGTATATTGATGTAAATCAAAGCGCATTATCTTGCCGCCTTAATATGTAACGCGCAAGTTAATCCTTTCCCCGCGGATGACGTGACGGAACGTATAGCATAATGGAGCTTTTATTTTCTACTGATCGTGTATTATATGCAATGAATGGTGCATTTTGTACATCTTTTCAACTCAAAGAGGTTGCTATCAAATGATTCTGAATTCATATATATAAAATATTAAGGCTCCGTGGTAGTCGCTGTCCTTGTTTGATGACGTCGGGAAACGCACGCCAAGATCTTTTGCGTTATACATTCAAACAAAAAGATATATACACAAAATGACATTTGTATCGATTCAGCACACATATACAATTGGTGCCGCTGACTGTTAAAGTGAAAGTAAAGCATTCGTCCAATTTTACATGTGTGCTGCATCGATCTCAAATGTCATTTTGTGAATATATTTGTTTATTTGAATGTATAACGCAAAAGATCTTGGCACGCGTTTTCTCGCTTCTGACGTCATTAAACAAGAACGGCCATAGCGACTCCAGAGCTTTAAATTTGCTTTAATTAATTGTTATATACAGTTTTATAACTTTGTAATATTACATATTTACTTATATATATGTAATATTTGAACGATTTGTACGTGAGCTCTTCGAACGTGAGATCTCGGAGTGTGTTTTATTGTTTTAGGTTTCAGGTAGAAAGTAGATACATTTTTTTTCCATTGACACCGCATATTGTCATCATTTTTTTCCCAAATTAATTGCAATTCCGAACAAGTGCCAGGAAACGAGTTTTTACTAGCGGGAAAGGTTTAGCCATTTTAAGATAATAAAAGTATTTGTTCATACAATGCTCATATTCTTTCGTTTTCTCTATCTGATCTCACCTTTTCACGATACGCATCCTGACTCGACAAATAATAGACCTCGTAAGTATACGTGCATATTTATAGCCGTTTTTTTATGTTTTCTTACAATCGATACGTCGCAATGTGTTACGAAGGTGAGCGTAATTCTTACATTGGCTAGACGATTGAGTTATTTACACGGATATGTAGTCAATAAAGAAATATTCCACAGTTTGAAGTCTGTTTTTTTAGATCATGTTATGTTGCTGGACACGATGATAATTTATTTTTCACAAGGTTACACAAGGTTACACGAAATGTAAATTGGAATCCATTAAATATTAAAATGCTCGACGAAATTCGCCGCGTTGCATCGCATGAACAAAACATTACAAATAAATATTTTTAACGTTTGAAAGGGTGGAACTTCCATTTTAATTTGCACACCCATAGATTGTGACGCAATCTGTTTTCACCGGTTATTCAAAGTTGAAGCTAAAATGTTATTTTTACTTTGATCGTTTATAAAAGACAAACGAAATAGTGTATGGCATTTGTTAAGAAATAAATAGAAAGTTTAAAGAGTTCCTACATCAAAACTTAAGTGAAAGGTGAAGTTGAAAATTAAATAATCGCCACTTCTCATTTAATTCGGTATATTTTAGCAACGAACGACCACGACATTGCAATCTCTACATGACTAAGATGCGAGATTTTAAATTACATAATGCTTCTTGAAGTATATTATTATTTTTTATTCCACCGAAGTTGTAATACGTCTTACGTATTTTTTAATGATAGAGCAAAAGTTCAATTATTCTTGAGTCAACTGTGGAATGATAGTCCAATTCGTTAACTCGATAAAAATAAAATCATTGTTACCTGGCGCCACATAGCGGTGTCATGATAAACTCGTTGAACAAAATTGGTTCGAGTCTTGGTTAAATATGGTTCGAGTCTTGGATGTGATGCCAATTAACCCGCAAAAATAATGGGTTCAATAATTAAGACAGGTCTTTAATGTCTGTTATTTCGTAACCTGTGCAGTTAGGCTCTGCGATATATATTAGAAATAAGAATAAATATTATGGCAATTTCGATTTGTTAACTCTACCCGACTCGGGATCATCGTACTGCATTCTGATTGGTGCGCTTTTAAAAATACACCAATACCGAAGTTACAGCCCGTTAAATTTTACCAGAACTTATCACAAATGAAGAAAACGATTATTTAATTTTTAAGATTCGTTTTTTTCGATCATGAGAAATAAGTAAAAGCATAATAGTGATTTTGATAAAAATAATGATAATTATATTATATTGTATACTTTTACAACAGAGAAATAAATCATACATTTACGAACCTATCGATGAAAGTTCATCTTTCTGTTTCCGACTACGCGTCGCTTGCATCGGTGCGGGAAGTTCAAGTTAGGTTAGGCGAAACAATCTATCATTCGTCAATTATTGTGAGGTTACTGAAGATACATTTTTCGGTAATACGCGAGAGATTCACCATTTTCCTCCACTCAAATCGTTTAAATGAACTTTCTGCATATTAAATATGTTATTTCAACGATTCTACTCGATTCTGTCAGCTGCACGACCGGCACGAAATATCACGACAAACTTGACCACCCGATTTATTTGGCGGAATAACAGACTTCAACAGTGCCTGTCGAGAGAGAACAATGACGATTCGGCGGACGTTAAACTCTCCAACCCGAATATTTCATCAGAAGACACGAAGAGGTTCGACGACGGAGGTTATACGTTGGAGGTTGCTCATAGTTCCAATGATAACGTGGTAAATGCCGCTTTACCTTCTCGCATTCAGCCAATTACCATCGCTCCGTGCGATAACTTCCTCGACGACGACGACGACATAACGTTACCGAAGCCTCTAGACGTGTGTACCGAGGATTTGTCCGACATCGGTCCGTATCTCACGCCTACTTTTACGTTCGCCAAGTATGCGAACAAGTCAAAGACGATTCAGAAGCTGGTGAAACTCGGGGTGGAGCTGTACAAACTGGAGTCCGAGGAGGGAATGATAAATTATATCCTGGGCCTTGACTTTGAGCGCGACATGAAGCCGTATATCATGTTTCTGTCCGACTGTGGCGTACCGGCCGATCAGCTAGGTCACTTCATCACCAAGAATCCCCACATCTTCAAGGAGGATATGGACGATCTTCACACGAGAATAAGATACTTAAGGGCGCATGAATTCAGCATAGATATGATAAAGACCATCATATGCAAGAATCCCAGGTGGTTGCTGCATAGCACTAAGGACATTGATGGCAGGTTCGGTTATTTCCAGACAAACTTTCACCTCAATGGCAATCAAGTCAGGATCCTCGCAGTCAAGGGGCCTAAAGTAATAACATACAAGATGTTGCACATAATAGCTAACACGTTCAGCATCAGGGAAGAGATGCAATTCAATCGTATACAGGTCAAACAGTTGCTCCTTAGGATGCCCAAATTATGGACGAAAAGTAAGGGTGCACTTGTCATTGACTCAATCTCAAAGCTCGTGAAGTATGTCTAATACTAAAAATTGCGTTTTCAGATCGCGAGAATCTGATGAGAACATTCGAGTACGCTCATGACGAAATGATGCTGCCGCTTGATTTCATCGTGCAATCGCCGCACATCTTGCTCTGTCGTAAAGCCAGACTCCAACAGAGGCACATGTTCTTGGTGGAACTGAAAAAGGCGCAGTACGATCCTACCAAACCATTGTATGTTTCACTACGAGCCTTGGTTGAAGGTACAGACGTGGACTTTTGCAGGAATATCGCGATGACATCCGTCGACATGTACAATGCGTTCCTTAAAACGTTTTAGTTAATAGCGGTTAAATGTAAATAAACACACGGACAGACTCATCATTCGCTATCGAAATTACTTTCGGTACAGCGTTTTTCGTCAGCATGAGATGACTGTTCCCTCTCCGTATATTTCCGTATTATTGTAGCGTACAATAATATCATGCGCGTTTTATTTAACAAGTAAAACTTTTTAGGAAGAATATACTTAGCGTACGTTATAATACATATATAATTTATGTCTCTCTTCTTTGCGCCACAAAAAAAAAAAGGAGAGAGAAGAGCATTCGCATCGCGCGCGTAGCACACCGAATACGCTTATTTATCGAGCCCTGAATTTACTTGTCGAGTTTTGACGACGTTTCTCATGCAGACCGGAAAGTGAGACGATGATTATCGACAGTCGTACTTAGCGTCCAACGCGCTAAGGTGAGAATTCACAGCGAAGATTAGAGGTCTGTTCATTTTCGCTGCACCTTTGAACTAGTGCAATAAGTTGAAGCGAGACAAGTATATGTTTTCTCACTTCAACTTATTGCACTAGTTCAGTGGTGCAGCGAAAACGAACGGGCCTATCGGCCTTCGGTGGAAAAGTGCTCCCGAAGCACCATGCTTCTCATTAACCTCTTCAGGGATATTGACACATATGTGTGCGTTTAGTTTTATTTAAAAATTACCGTTAATATTAAATGTTGAATGAAATAAATTTAAACAATTTTCGTTGTTATAAATCAAAAATTTTCAATTCATCCCTGAAGAGGTTAATACTTCTCGTAAAAATCTATTTAATTATTCGCCTAATTCCCCGTCTCTACCGTCATAGTTGAAATTTAATCGACGAATTTCCCTGAATTAATCGCCGATTAGATTCAAATCGCGATGGTAGAAACAAGCATAAAAGTGTCAACATGGCCCGAATTTCAATTGTATTTTCCTAGCTCTATCTTCTTCTGTATCGCGCGCACCGAATGGTAGAGCAACGAATCTATCAGGCCTGCCACAGTGAACACGCCGCCGATGATCGCACAAGTGTTCGTCGCGAAATGCCCGAACGACTTCGCCTTCTCCGTGTACTTGACCATGAGCGGACTCAGCTCGTAGCTGAAGAATATGCCAGGCATGCCGGAATCGCTTATGTACAACGGCATCCGCTTTGAGTGTCGTGTTACAGAAAACTGATTCGTCAAGAGGGTCGACCCGTCTACACGGACATATGTAGTCGGCACGATTTTGATGTAGTGATAAAACATCATAGCACCTGAAAAAGGAAACAACTTCTGTGAGTTTCAAGGCTCTGTTACTCTTCAATTAGGGTACATTGTTGCCTCTGGCTTTATGCGATTGGACAAATTCTCAAAAAGAATTCGTCTGATGTATTAAAATAAAAAGGCAAAACGTTTTTCACTTTCGAAAAGATCAGAATAATTGTAAATCAAAGGCCGATATTTGATATCCGGTGTAAAAAGCGTGGTTTCTGTTTTCTTCTGAAAAACTTGATTATACGAAAGTAAACTTCTAATTCTATGAAATACCTTAAAACGTATAATTTCAATTGGCTACGTTCTATGAAAGTCATCTCCCGATTTCACTGGGAAGATAAATTTTGCAAAATTTATTTTTATTAACAACAAAGTTCATATTGTTATCTATATTTGATACGCGATACGAATGACCCGCCGTATCCACGGTGTGACGTCACGTTCGACGGAAATAGCAGACGGCGCGACCGTCTTCTTTTACAGGGGGGAAAACCATCATGGCGTCGTTTCAGTAATGTCGTGTGAGTGCGATGCGTTGATAAATCTCGGCAATTGTGAAGGAACGTTATCAAATTCCCAAATTTATAAGTAAGGATACGGCTGAACGACTGCAGCCGCGACAAGATTGCGTAAGACGCGCTTTTACAGTAAGTATTAATGTAATGATACAACTTCCAAGTATGCGTGCATATCGTGTGCAAAAAATTCGGAATATGTGTTCTAAATAATTATGCTGAAACTTAGGGAAAATTTCGCTTGATTTGTGAGATAAAGTTCACGCAAGATGCCCGCCATACCAGCAGGAGCCTATGGCCAAGGACCTTCGTGTTTCGACCGTATGAAATTAGGCTTTGCAATTGGATTCTTTGTCGGTATAAGCTCTGGCGCACTTTTCGGTGGATTTTCTTCCTTCAGGTATCGTTGAGAACAATCGCTAATGTAAACATATTCAGCGAGTCGGGAGTATGTTTAATTTATAAAAAAAATTTGATTGCTAGATATGGGTTGAGAGGGAGAGAATTGTATACCAATGTTGGCAAATTGATGCTTCAAGGTGGTGGTACATTTGGTACATTTATGGCTATTGGAACAGGCATAAGATGTTAATATATATACATGTATGTATGTATGTATGTATGTATGTATGTATGTATGTAAGTATGAAGTAAATCTTTGAAGGGTAACTTTAATTCACAATTGTTTCTAATAGTTGCATTGAGTTTGTAACTGTTTATAAGAATGGAAGAGCGTTGAATTCTTAATAAAATAGCTGTAAAAACCTACCTTCCGTGGCGATTACAGTGGTGTCATCCATAGGATTCGTCTTTCCTGGGATGTTGAGTCCAAAGCTCAAATGTCGAATTTTATGAGTCATGTTGAAGTGATTCGAGGTGTAAGGTTGGACGTCGTGCACTGTTACATTGAGAGAACGAGGCCCATGAGAGATTCATCAGCGGATGTATCGTGGAAAGGAAGAATTCCATTTTGTTAGTTTACCATGCACATGATTGACAGAGTAGCTGTCTCCCGGCGCGATGTGGAAACTCCCACCGACTCGATTCACCTCCATGTAACCGTAAATTTGGCAGCCTTGCGTGAAGGCGTGCTTAAACTTATCCGCAGATTTGTCATTTTGACACTGTTTAATTTGAGCCATGTCCGGTGTCGCCCATTTCTTAAGTCTATAGGCCGCTTGTACTTCCTCGCAAGTATTGCAACACCTGTGTAATTAAATAAAGTTGAATTTTACAAAACATGTATATACTCGATGGAGTTCTTCCTCAACGTGTGTGTCTGTGTGAGAAAATCCGACTCACTTTAACATATCTGTAGCCGCTCCGTAACAATCTCCACAAGCCTCGGTAGTAGAGCTGACTTGTGTTTCCTGTGAAAATATTTTGTCCGATATTAATTAACTTGCGAATAAATATTCAGTGAGAAGACACCCGTGAGAGTCTTCGATTACCTCGTTCGTAGGTTTCATGAGAGCCTTTGTGTTTGTAATGTCTGTAACAATTTTATATCAGAGAGTCTCTTTTCTGCTCATTCTACTTTTTGTACAATCTTATTTTACCAGAGAATGTTACACGTACTTGTTCTCTTCGGGTCCTCTATTGGTTTACCGTTTAAGTCTAATCGTCTCTTAAAGATATTGTGTTCTATCTGCAGATGCTGCACACCGGTTGTATCCATCGCGTCTATCGATAAAACTGCAAAAACATAGAAACTGTCATTTTTTTCTGTGTGTATGTGTGTGTATCAAGCGTAATCTGCACTTACGGTCACAAGATATAGTTGGGACTATTATGTCCAAGTTGATTCTCAGTTTAGAGCCCCTAGATGTGTCTACAAATAATTCCTCGCTCATAGTTGGCGTGAGATAATAGTTGATCTCTGACATGAGAAGTATGCCCATGATGATGGTGCTAATGATTGTAACTGAAAGAGAATTATTTCGTCGTTGATTGTGTTAACATATGTATGTATATATGTAGAAAGCTGATTCTTATCAAGTGGCGTGTTTTATCAGTGAAGGTACGTAAGCTCTGTTAAGTATCGTCTAATATGGAGCAAACATGTGATTATATTAAGTGTCAGAAACGCACATGGTGGGCGAGATAACGCGGTTCCGTTGCGGACGACTCGCACGAATGCGGAGGAACCGCACGACGGCCGATTCGAATTCAAAACATCTTGTAAGAACGCTAATAAGAAGGTCCGAAGCTCGATCGGAGGTTAATTACTCGCCGGTGTCGTCTCGTTTTGCACCGTAACGAATATCTTAACCTAACGGGACGCAAGTATCCTCTGTCCTCGTGGCAGTCGAGCCTGAACTTCCGTCAGGACGGGCATTGACAGGCGGAAATTCGACGAGACCGACAAGTAACGTTCTAGACGCCGATCTCTCTGATTGTGTTTACCAATGGCACCGCTGAAGGTCCTCACGAGAATGTCGGCCTCCTCGCGCACTTTCGGATGCACGTCCAGCTGCCGTAGGATTTGCATTTTTTTTCTCGATTACGGCCTCTTGTTGGAGGAAGCACGCGACACGGTGCAGGAAACACTCTCTCACGGCGTGCTGATGTTTACCGCAACCATCGACCAGGTATCGTTCGAGAACCGGTGTATTGCGCAATTGACAGATTTTACCGTACGCTAACGTCATCTTGACGGATTGCGGCGAATGCGCGAAGTTACAATCCGAATTAACGTGATGATGGTAATCATAGTTTTGCGAAGCTACCCTGTATTATAGCTTGATGATTGCCGATAATCTCGACACGTCCTTCGCTTATTTTTTCGTGTTCATTCGCAGATAAAAAAATTATTTTCATTATAACGCAATTGCAAAAATTTAAATATCAACAAAATCTACGCTCTCTCATATGTCAATTCTTTAATATAATTGTCCTGAGTTGTTGAATTAAAATCTAATAAAATAATACATCAAATATAGACAATGCATCCGATAAGATAATAGATCTAATCAATTTTTATTGAAATTTAAATCTCTAATAAGTGAAAAAAAGATAAGAGCCACGTCAAATTGTTAATCCTTGGCATAATAATGTAGCGTACTAATGAAGCTGCCCGAGCAGTTAAGTAGGCTGAACTGGACGGTAATGGGTTTACCCAGATAGCACAAAATATTCTATGAATATACGTAGAATTTTGTAAGCAGATCCAGTAAGCAAGAAATCATTGACACAATATTATTACAATGATATTTTATAATATGCCATATTTCCAAATATGTAGTTCTTAATGTTGTATACTACGTCATTGTTGACAATATTTGACTGAAACATACAAAATAATGTTTCTACACTATGGCTTTAATATTTAAGAATATTATATCTTAGGAGTTTCTCACACATTTGCCTACGATATTCGATGAAATATTCCAAGCAACACAGTGTCTAAAATCAGGATGTAAGACGTTTTATGTTCCAACGTCTGAAAGAGGCGTCTTTAAGACTCCTTGCGTCTCGATTTTAGACATTGTGTTGTCTGAAATTCTATATATATTCATAGAACATTTATAGTAGCGTTATATACTAAGAACATACTATAAATATATAACAGTGTTTGGTACATTCTATGAATATATAAACATTCGCAACGAATATTCGTAAAATATTCCTGTACTATCTGAATGATTGGCTAATCGTTGCCCAACGTTTGGTCAACATTGGCAAACGATTAACCGACCATCGTGCTGCTCGGGTGCGAAGGAAGTGAACAAGGGTATCAAATTTACCAACAAGCTACTCGTTGTGCTTCTGATTTGTAACAAATGTTCGATAAACTTTTATTCCACATGGTGTATTACGTTGCACCTCGGGACATACGTCTCGATTTAACATACAGATGTATTTGGTTTGTCGTCACCTACATGTATGTGTGTTTTTACGCGCGTGTGTCGTGTGTGTGTACGCCGTATGTCGTGTGTGATGACTGTCTCTCTCAGTCGGACGTTAGAAAAACGCGTTTATTGGTTTTGTCTTATGTAAAAACCCGAGTGTGTAAGACGAGTCTGTCTCGACATAGTAGGTCTTCGCACCAACCCGATTATAAGGCTTGTGCTATTAAGGCACTCTATGCCAGGAATATACTTAGCGCGTGCACGAGCAACGAAACGAGACACGAGACAGAATGCGTATATGAAACGAGACGCGAGCGTGACGGAGAGAATCGGACAGAATTAAAAAAAAAAAAAGAATAAATTCACTTTATACTTTATGTGTACGCGGCTTAAATCGCGCAACATTAACGTCAACGTTAAATTAGAAGTACTAGCTAAAATTAACGGCGGTGGAAATTAATGGACGGCGGTCTAACGCTTACACTCAATCGACCCGTTGTTAACGTACAATCGTTGTAGAGACTGGCAGTAAAAAACGCGCAGCGACGTGCGACGTGATTTTCGTCGCTATTGAAGCAAAAAGGGGAGTACACGACTGTTGCGTCCGGCGGAGCGAAGCGCTTAACGATGATTTATGACGACTCTAATCGACGTACACTTTTAGGTCTTGTGTCTATACGTAACATCCGATTCAATCGAACCCAACCGCTCGTCAGGCGCTCCATTACGCCGAACACGGCAATCATTACCCGTGTTTGGACAGGCGTCCTGTTATCTTCGCTGCCATTCCGATCTATCGAGGGACGATCGACCGGGATACATAGTTCAGTGTGTGCTCCGTATATTATATATCGTTTAACGTACATCAATACGCGGAGATCCGATGAAGATTCCACACAGGGACAGAGAACGGGTCGTTTGTAAACCTATAACGAGCTAACGTAAAGGCTACCTTGTACTTAACTACATATATAAACGGCAATGAGATTCTCGATCGGCCCTCTCGGGGCGCGGCGGAGACGGTAATTCTCGCGGCACGAAGTGTTCTTTGTACTCTACACGTGCCTCGCTTCTTCTTCCTTTTTTCTCTCGTTTTCCTTTTTCAACTGCGCGCTCCGCGCAGCATAAATCTTGGCCGGGTTCCGACGCTATCGACGATACCATCATTCTCGCATGTTCGAGCTGCGAGACTGCGCGTTCCCTCGTCAAATGTTGCGCCCAGGAACCGATTAGTAGATCCAATTCACCGGCACCCACTGATGCTCGGTGGCTAAGGCGTCCAGAGCGGCGATCACCTGCCGGAACGTGTGGTCGAAGTCCTCGTTCACGATCACCAGGTCGATGTATTTCTCGTAGGCTCTCTGTAGGGCGGCGGATTCCTCCAGGGTCGACTTCAGATCGTCCTCCTGTTACCAGATGGATTATCGATCAATCGTTCGTTCGCTCGCGTCGTCTCCCCGCCGCTTAAGAATAATTTCTCGTCTAAGAGAAACGGTGCTTCGCACAACAATCGCTTTTCACGCTAAAGGCGGTGCGGTATGTGTCTCTGACGTGGCTCCACGAACGTAACTCGTTTCCCGTTTACAGTTGCGGGCTTAATTACCAGTCGTGAAAGTGCTCGGACAAGCGTAATTGATGACAGACGTTAATATGGCGACGACGAAGTTATCGTCGGTCCGAGTGAAAGCCGACTTCTTCGTACTTTTCGTTACACTTGACGTGTGGAATTCTATTTTACGAATTAGAGAACGTGGAAGTCGCGTGCGATACTGCAATACGGTTAATTCGACGTTAATCATACCAAGGCAGTCCCGAACTAAGACGATGTATACAGACACGTGCCGCATTGGAGAACTACGATTCGCCGCTACGTGGAGAGAACTACGATTGCATAACTCGGAGGAAGATCGAATAGAAGTGCATAAACGTAACGTAAAGCGAATTGTTCACATTCATTGTCATCGAGAGACATGCAATACAAACCTCGTATAGAGATGCGAGGGACTCCAGCGTCCGGGCTCTCCTCGAGCTGTACCTGATGGAACTCTGGCGGTCGAACTAGCGAAGCCAACATCAAATTTATACAACGAATTAACTAAAACTGATTGAATACAGCTCAAACTGAATAGCGAATGAGAGTAAAGTATAGTTGCATGTAAGTGACTAGCATCACATTAGGGAGCGACACGAGGAGCTTGAGAGAGGGAGACACAGAGAGAGATTTCACGGATGTGTGGAAAGTGATTTAGCATGGAACGTGGAAGCGAGTTTTGGCGACAGATTACCGTCAGTTGCCGACTGCTGGCGCCGGTCGACCTCCCGAGATCGTACAGGGACTTCAGCTGCTCCATGCCGGGCGCGGCGATGAATATGACGTAGGGCATGAACTCCGTGCTGTTGTGGAGGATCTTGAGGGCGGCTGGACTGCAGTCCAGCACGCACATCTTACCGGCTCTGATCAGATCACGCACGGAGTCCAGTTTCGTGCCGTACAGGTGCCCACCGTGCTCGCCGTGCTCGAGAAACCTGTGCTCCCTGATGTCGGTTTCCATGGCCTCACGATCGGTGAACCAGTAGCTCTTACCGTCCTCTTCGAGGACTCTGGGCGGCCTCGACGTATCTACGAAAATGGGATTACGATCAGGTTTTGCTTTCGACTGAAATCTCATCGGTGAACGATGAGAAGAAGAAATGGATCTCGTTGAAATCTTGAATTGGACATTCGTCGTTACATCGGAGGACAGAGTTTGTCCGTTCTTGAGGGCTTAATCGAACAATGTGTGTCGTACTCACAAGGTACAATAGTGCCGAACTTCTCGGGGTCGCTGTTGATCAGCCTGTTCTTCAGGGTTCGCCGGCCTACGCCGCGCGGCCCGACCAGGGCCAAGGTCTTGCGCCGGAACGGCGGCATTCGCGCGACCTCCTCGTAGAGGAGCAACTCGGCGCTGTCGAACTCGCCGTTCGACTTGGACTGGTACATTTTCCTCTTCTTCTTCTTCGAGATTCTAGTGCCGCAGATGCTGATCTTGTGAACGAAGTCGGCCTCGGGCGGCACGAAGGCTTTCCTGCGTTCCTCCAGCTCCAAGGAAGGTATCAGGCCAGGCGGTCCGAGACCTTCGCCCTCCACTCTGCGCGCCTGCCACCAGTTTGGGTCGGCTTGGTCGACGATCTGCAGGATGTCGCCCTTCTGGAAGAGCAGACCTATCTCCCTGCAGGGCAAGATCGTGTCCTCCGACGGGTCGTAGTCGAAGAGCGCTCTCATGTAACACTGCAACACGACGATTCGAGTGGTCGTTCGGCAAAGCTATGATTTTGCCTTTTTTCCCAGCGCGTTCACGCCGCGATGTCCGAGGGAAACACCGTGCGAGGAAGTAGAGCAAAAACACCGGCGGTGGTTACCGGAGGCATCGAGGCGGAAAAGCAAACCGTTCTCGGAATCACTCACCGTGGATTTGACAGGTCGGTTCAGGTCCGTCGCGACACCCGGGGCGAGCTTCAGGGACAGATTCTCCTTGGCCTCCTGGATCGCCTGCTGCAGCTCCTCCGGGTTCCGCACGTGCTTGCCGTTCACCTCGAGTATCACCTCGCCTGTCCTCAAGAGACCTTGACGAGCGGCCGTGCTGCCGCCGAGGATCCTGGCGATGATCATGTTGCCCGACTCGTCGACCTGCACCGTCAGACCCTGAGGGGAAACACGGACACGTGAAAACAAACGTCTCCGGGACGAGCCGGGTTGAGTACACTCTGCTCGCGACAACCGTGCCTTTCTCGCGCGTTCGTCGATAAACAAAGCGTCAAGCCGAGAACGCGAGGACCGTCGAGAACTACATTTCGGTCTCGGGGGAGCGCGCAGTAGCAGAGAATCTTAGCCGGGCCACGTGGCCGCACCGTGGAAATAAACATCCGCACTTATTTATGAACTCTGCAAGTGGCATTTCCGTCTTTCCTTCGGACGAGCCGGACCGGCGAGCTAACTCGAGGATTCCCCCGGCGATAAATCTGCCGAATTGCGCCCAAACACAGCCCGAGCTCTTCGTTGAACGACTTGTGCGCAAGCTCCCGCTGTTTTCACCGGAAAGCTCTTCGCGTCGAGACGACGATCCCCGTCGCGATTTCAAACCCTTTCCATTCACCGTGACGCAAAGTCACCCCCGCGTGTTGTCTACTGCATATTTATGTATAAACTATTCACCACTGCTTATAAATAACTCACTAAGGGTTCATCCGATTGCCTCCTGAGACCGACCACCCTGACGGCCTCCGTTCTCTCGTTCGTCGGCATCGTCACCGCAGGCGGAGGATTCGGCTTGGCTGGTGCACCTCTGCGCTCCACCACCGCGTCGTGCGTCTCCAAGAGTGCCCTGAGATGCGACTTGCTCAGAAGGCTCACCAACTCCCGGGCGTGGGGGTTGCCGGAGATGCGATAAGCGTGGCACACCTCGTCGACGATGTCACAGACGGACGAGCATACCGGCTCCACGGGCGCCGGCGGGTCCTCGAGACGCTCCTGGACCTGCCGGGCAGAGATCTCCGATCAGGACTCGTCGAAAACTGGTTTCTCAAATGTGAATGCCTTTATCAGGTATCGTACAAATTCTTCGCCCGCGTCCCGCCTGTAGCGTTACTTCAACAGCGATATTGACAGCGCTCTTATTTCGTAACTTTTAACGTTAGAGAATCACGGGTATTTTCCTTCGTACCGCGAACTGGTCATTTTTCACCTCTTTTTCTTTTTTGTAATTATCCGCTGACTTTCTTCAACTTTATAATATTGTTTATTTGTTTTATGATAACGAAGGCCTCGCAGTGATGAAAATTCAAAGAAGTGGGAACTAAAGAATCTACAAGTGAAAATTTTGAGAATATCGAAGCTTCGATATGTAGGAATTATGAGATTTTAAAAATGCGGAAAATGTCGTTGGAATCCGTTATCTAATCTTAATGACTGGCCCGTTAGACCTGTCGGTAGGGAAACAACAGGTGAAGCATATCGACGATTACCGATCCTCCTTCCTCCCCTATTATCTATTGCACTGTTAGGCATCGATACCCACAGCGAATGTGACCTTTGAAGACATTACCTTCGACGTTTCGGCAAGTTTTCTTCGAAGTTTCGAAATGATCGAAAATTAATAGCCCTTACTGACGCTCACGTTTAAGGCGTGAGCGATCGATCGATCAATATCGATGGGAATTAACGCGACAGTCAGAGTTTTTAATTGCCAACGCGCGCATTTACCGAGCTACGGCTGTAGCTTATTGCGCTAAATCAACGAACATCTATTTTCTACCTCATCTTATCTCTAGATTCGCCATGCCCCTCGCCTCGCGCGAGCCAGAAGATAAAACGCTTGTATATTATTACGAGCCGATTCCCGATGTTGTTTGAAGCAGTGCGAGCAATCTCTCTCTTTCTCTCTCTCTCTTTATCTGTCTGCGCTTACGGTGTCCATATTTAGATGGCCCCGTAAACCGCGGGCTCTTGCCAGTCGTGAAAGTATAGAAACAGGTTTCCGTATTAAATTCACCATAAGCACAGCACGCCGGGCACGGCTTGCGTCCATCTTTGTCGTTCTCGAGACGAGAGAGAGGCGAATGGAGAAAACTATGTGCAGCTGAATCAACAAATTTCCTCAAGTACAACTCGCCCTCCCCCCTCCTCCCGCGCGTTCTCGCACGCGTAAACGTCAAATAAATTTCACGTATTCCCGATGAATTGAAAAACACGCGGGGAGAAAATAAAAAAAAACAAAAGGGGAAAATACGGCAGGCAGGGGGCCCGGGAAAATAATTCTTTCCCAAACGCACAGCGCGCGCGCACCACATCGCACATCGAAATATTCCGATGACGGATAAAACGCGGATTAACGGAGAAGCAATCTGGTCGTTAAAGCGGTGGATTAATAATCGGCGCGTGACGACGGTGCTGATTCAACGACGGCGAGTTTGATTGGATTAGAGTTAATTTAGTCAACACGCACGTAAGGTTAGTCGAATAATCTACGCTTCGCCCGAGTCGCGGCACAATGGGCGATTAATTAGAAAAGTAGGCCATTCCGCTCGGCCATGCTCCTTTGGTCCGGCGAACAAAGCCGAAACACGACCTATCGCACCATCGCGCTCTTCCTCAAAGCGTGCCTCGCGCTAATACGCGCGATATTACGCGTTATATCGTCACTTATTATTATTATTACACACGGTGGTCGGGGCGAGCTCGCGGATCGCGTCGGAGGTGGGTGATGATTCATTGTCGAATCATTTCCTCTCTCTCGCGACTCGCGACCGACGCCGCGCGCGCAGATGGTGCGCGCGCTTTGCCGATCACGAAAGAGTTTCATCATCGCCCGTACGTGCCCGAAGCGCGTTACGAAACCGACGGCCGATTTCCCGCCGATTAACGACCAGCAACGAAAGCATCGAAGGCTATATTTCTGCCGTGATTCTCCCCGGCGAGCGTTCTTCGATTTGTTTATTCAACGTGCGCGCGCGCGCGCGCCCACGTGCCCTCCAGGCTTCGAACGCGACGCCGCTGCTGTCACGCGAGATGATTCGAGCTGATGCGCCTCGTGAATCATCGGCTCGAAATGATCGTCGTCGAGGGATAGGTGCATCGAGAACGATCTCGGCTTTCTTCCTCCCCCGCCCGCTCTCTCTCTCTCTCTCTCGATGGAATTGCACCGATCTCGGTATCGGGAATAGCCGAGAAGTAGCGAGGCTACGTCAGTGGCACACTTTCTGCGGTCAGCTCGAGGAGATTGTTTATGGGCCACAAATCACGGGGGGATTTATTTATCCACTTGATTGCGAGACGCCGCATTCCGCGCGCTTTCTCGGAGAAGCGAGCCGGGCGTTGCGTGTGCTCGATTCGCGGCGATAATTCCCGCGTACTCTGCGGTGAGAGTAACAACCTTTTCGCGCCGCGAATCGCCAATGGGTGCGAGCGAGTAACGGAGTCCCCCGGTTTCTCCTACGCGCATATCACCGAGCGAGTCGATCGTTTACCGCGCTGAAAGGTGAATCCGCGCGCGATCCGCCGACGGCTGCGGGAGTCGAATTCGGCGTCAACCTTGCCGATCTGCCGGTCGTCTCGTCGCACCTCCGTCGCACATTCGCACGTTCCCAGTCACCGACGCTAACGCTAACGGTACTCGACGGGTTTCCCTCGACATTTCGCCGCACGAACGGTACTTCGCGCACCTCCTGGCCGACGATTACGCTCCACGCTTTGAGACCCGAAGAGGCAGAGGCGCCTCCCCGGCTACCTCGGGCCTGCCTCGGATCCCAGGCACCTTTCGTACGTGTTTCGCCGCGTTCCTCGAGCGGTGACGCTCACCTGGACGATCCAGCCGGATAACGCGAGCTGCCGTGAGCGGACTGGCGAACTGAAGCGCGATGTCGTGTCGGTGCCCTCGCGACACTATCGATCGGCGTGGGTTGAGAGTGTGGACAAACTGAGTTCGTCGGAGGGATAAGTAGCGCACAGGAGATCCCGATGAGACCGGAGCAAAGAGACGACCTCCTCTATCACAGTGTGACGGCACGACGGCACCTTCTCGCCAAGGAAAGCAACGTCAGAAAACTGCCGCGCCTTACTGCTACGTCGGCCGCGTCCCTCCGCGTAGGCAGCCCGTTCAGGCGAGTCTCCTGCCGTTCTGAAACAGGTGGGGGCCCTTCCTCTCCTGGCACGCAACACTCCGCTACGTTTGTTCCAGGAGCGTAGCCGCTCGTGGGGGGAACCGTCGGTCTGAGGTCGCCGCGTGGTTCCCTCTTGTTGAGTCGACGACTCGTTTCCGCGAGCCGTACTTTCTCTCCTCGGGCTCAAAACGGAGAATCGAGGATCCCCGGGACGACGATCCGTTCCCTTCTCACGCTTTCCAGCAACGTCCGTCGGGTCCGGGCTTTCAAGGCATGGCGCCGAATTCCCGGATGGAAGGTATCGCGCGATGACGCTCTCGAAAATTCAACTTGTGGCGGAGTAAACATCGCCCTCTCTACGTGCCCCCTCTTATCCCCCCTGCCCCATTTCCATGGGAAAACACGCGATGCGTACACGAGGCGAATCTGCATATCCGTCGCTTTCGGATTCGGGACGTCGTTGCAAGCGAGACCCTCGGCCGTCACGGTAAGGTTCTCAGGGTTTCGTAATTGTGACCTCGCTCGGCAAGAAAGAACAGTCTGGGCGAAACGGGTCCGCGTGTTTCTTCGTTTCCCACTGTGCCATCTGACGATTCCTTTTGCGTAAAGTTTAGGGATAGTTGCGGGACACAGGTAGAAGGTTTTCCCTCTCGAGAAGCGGAGAAGCGTGTTGCGCAGCAGAGCGGACTCGCTACCTCGGATTGTTCGCTCCGTGAACGGAGGGAAGACGGGCGGGATGAATGATGCCTGCAGGTGCCCGTCGACGAAGGCACTCCGGTTTCTCACGCGGACTAATAACTTGAAATTTCCGAGCAGGTGGCAGCTTTTCCACAACGTCCGGGTACGAGATGTGACCTCGTCGCGACACACCCGACGGTGCTCGTTATTTTCAGCCGGAGGAGAATTGAATCCCGCCGGTAAAAATTGTCTTCCTCGTCGCCGACGATGGGAATCGCTCGGACGCTTGACAGCTTGTGACGCAACGTTAATTAGACTCATTTGAATATTCCGACATTAAGTGATTCCGGTTTTTAGTGGACGACGACATCGACGGCGGGACGATGCGATACGCTCGAAGAGCTGGATATTTACCGCGCGTTCGACAACAACGAACCGGCTCTGTTGGCTTCACGAAGCAACGAAGTAAAGGGATTCCTTCGGGAGGACGCGATTCCGCGTGTAATTGAGTCGAGAAAGCACACTCAACTCGGACACGGAAATTCGCTCGACTTTACGACGAGATGAAAAAAACTACGTAGCTGATAAGAGAGTGCACGCTCATACAGCCCTGTCGCGCGCGCACGTACGAACGAACTCGCCGCAATGTACGTTTCTCCCACTTCCCTCCTCCCCTCTCTCTCGTACGGTTACAAAGCCAACTCCCCGACTGAAATTACACGACGTCTCGTACACGCTACGAATTACAAGACACGCACGTAAGGCCACTCGTATACCGCCGTCGCGACACGCATGCTCGCGCCTGGATTTCTGCAAGTGCCCCACGGAGGCGCCTATGACCCGGTCCAATTAAGAGGTCACAGCCAATTCTCCGACGTCAGCGAGAGAGAGGAAGAGAGACACGTGTAGGTTACAGTCGGTCAATTGACGGGCACGGCTGTAAATCTCAATATTTCCTCCTCGGCTTCGTATGTCACGAATTATAACGTCCCTCCGTGATGGACAAAACGGCCGTTCGATCCGTTCGATCGATGTGTGACCGTGTCATTAAGAAGGCAACTACTTTGCAACTACCTTGCTACTTTCAAGACCATTTTCTTCTCTCTCTTTCTGGAAGAATAATTATAATACTCAGCCAATTCTTACTCTTTGTCACGCTCCTCTTGCGCATTTTATTTTATTTTTTCATTTTATTCCCATTTTCCCCTCTTTGTGTTCATAATTTACGGAAAAAGGGAATTAGTCCACGTGAAACAAATGAAATTTAATTACCAGACCCAGTTTTTAGCTGTGGGGGCTGAAGATTAGACACAAGGACGAAAAGAATTAGCTAAATTAACTAAATTTCAGTTGTATCATATGGACAGCTAATTTTTACCCGTGGGTAGCTAGTTTTCAGTATCTGTAGGAGCTATTTCTCTTTTTTTGCCGTATAAAAGCTCAAAGTAAGAAATCCGCTTTGGATAACATGATGTTGCAATTATTGTGATGCGTTTGAACAAGCAACAAACTTATTATGCAAAATTAGAATCCAATTTACATGAAATCCGTGCTCATAAAGATTATTACTATAAAGTTCAGAGGGCTGTAACTCCTAGAGCGACAATAAACGTTTCTGCCTGTCTGTCTCTCTCTCTCTTTCTCTCTTTCTCTTTCCGTCGTCTTCTTCCCTCACTTGTTTCGCAGTGGAATCAATCATTGACGATTACGCTATTATTACGAAAGTTTTCCCAGTTCTTCCCGGCGATAACACAAGTCCCAATCGGCACTCTTCATCGTCGGCTCCTTTCAACATTAAAAGCGGGAAACACGGGGGCCAACGACTTCTCAATGGCTTCTCGAAGCCGGACGCGCCCTACCTGCCGTCGTGCGTTTTACCTGCGCAGGTAAGTCGCCGGAATGTGGGCCCAGCTCGACGTTCGAAGAGGAACGTTGAGGGGAGAAGACGTGAGCTGCACGAACAGCTCTTTTAACCTTCTACGTGCGTGCGTTAGTGTAGGAGAGAGAGAGAGAGAGAGAGTCGCGTTGTGTCGCGTCGTGTCGCGTAAACGCGACGTTTTCAGCCCATCGTCGGATAATATTTTCGTCGAAGGTCGTATCGCAGCATTCTTTCTCGCGCTTCGCTCCGGCGAGGAAGTGTGTCGCGACCGAAATAGCGTGGGTGTCGCGCGGGGCCGCGTGAGCGAAGGCGTCGTCGCAGAGCGAAAGAAAATCCCGGAGATTTTCCCGAGATTTCTCTTCGCCCACGCTTCCATCTCGATCGTGACTCCGTCGAGCCACGTGGCTCGAATCCGATCTCAGCTGACGAGAGGTTTTTCTTTTTTGCTCGCCCTCGTGGAGCTGTTCGCGATTACGCGCGTAAACGAGGCGCGCAGAACGAACGCCTGGATCGCGACACGGGAAACACACCTTGAGCTACACTTAGCGAAGGACTCGGATTAATAAACAGCGCGATGTGCGTAATCGGGCTGAACTGTCTTCCACTGGCGATCGTGTTCCGCGGATTAGCGTTCCGGGATCGACCCCGTGGCGAGGATGTTCGAGGATAAACTCCGTTCAAGACGAGAAGCTGCCACGTCGGTTCAACGACACCGAGCCGTTCGGGCAGACAGCCAGAACACGCGCGCGTCTTAATTTTTCATTGAACGATGCGACGAATTAGAAAGTCGCTGCGGATGCGCGGTGCCGACTCGCTCGTAAACATTTCGCGCCCCTCGTAAATTCCCAGGGCCATAGTAAACACAAACGTTCGACGTTGCGTGCGGTGCGCGCGGGGGGCGAAAACATGACGTCCACTCTCCGTGCACGTTCACGAGCGGCCGCGGCGCGGGGAGGAATCGCGCGGTATTGTTCCCCATTAGAATTCCTCATGTTCGTGACGCTTAACGAACGACTCGATGAAAAAGAGCGACGGAAGGCCGAAAAAATCAACCCCTCCGCGTCGGCAATTCGTCGTAACGCGGCCGTTCGTCGCGCGTTTCGCACCGGACGACCGACACCTTCGAGAACTGAGCGTCTCGACGAAGCCCTCCTTCACGGGGTTCTTCGCGCTTCACCGACCTGACCGATCGAAAGGCCTCGATATGTCGAAGCTGGACGAAACTTGGGTCGCTCGGGCGTTATGTCACGCGCGACGAATCGCTTTCGGGCTTGCTCGCAGAGATGGAAAACTCACCTTCACGAGCGACGTGACGACCGGGCTGTCGAGGAGGCCCTTCAGGAACAGCAGGTCCGTGTCGTCGGCGACTTTGCCCAGCTCCTCGATGTTGTCTCGCACGTGCATGAACGCGGCTGGAACAGGAACGGCGCACTCGTTCATAACTGACCGCGGATCTCCACGCGGAGAAACTCTCACGGCACACCACCGCACCACCGGCTGCGTCGGCAGCAGCGGCTGCGCGCGAGAGAGAGAGAGAGAGAGAGAGAGAGAGCCCGGAGAAGGGTGGCGTGACGAGGGAGAGCAGCGGGGTGCCAACGAGGTCGCGGCGATGCTGAGGGTGAACCCGGGCGTGGCCATCTTTCGGCGCGGATCAATATTCGGCTAGCTACAGGTGGCCGACGCGCCACGCGAGATCGGCCGATCTCCTTCTCTCTCTTTCTCTCTCTCTCTCTCTCTCTCGAGTGTGTGGAGCGCTGCTCGAGAGTCCTCTGGAGCAGCGAGTTCTTCAATAGGTCAGTTCGAAATTGATTAAGGATATATAGTCCATAGATCAAAATAACGAAAGAATTATGAGAAAAATACAAACTGATCTTCATTGCATTTAAAAGCGATGTCAAAAGTTTGACGGTAAAGAGACTGGAGTCCATCTAGTGTCTACCTCAACTTCACATCCTTAATTGTCCATGCGAGTAACAGGACAACGCGAAGAACACTCGAGGTTGGCACCGGCCGACCGATCGGCGCTTTTCCGGGGCGAAGTTCCGCGACTCGATCGTATCGTATTCGCGCGCGGAAATTCTCCCGGGACTTTTCGACTTCTCGCTGGGCAATTAAACGAAATGACCGCGCAATTATCCGGCACTCGAGGGGTTGGGAAATCGCCGGCGATCCGTTCCCACGGACAATCTGGGCATTTAGGATTTCCTCGGCGGTAACGCGCCAGAGTGCTCGCAGCGCGCGCTCGATTTGAGGATTTCGGCGCAAGCTCAAGAGCCGCGAAGCGCAAAAGCGCTAATTACGTGTCCCGATGCGCGTCAATTAACGTCGCCTCCGCACGCGGCTTTCACGTAAGCGGCGTGACGCTTTTCCAAGGCCTCTTTCAGACGTTATTATCGCGTTCCACTTAAGTGGCTTTACATTCGTCGGCGTTCGTCGAGCGTTATTGAACGCGCGCGTTACACCTATCACCGGTCTGGAGATTTATTTGCAATTGAGGAAATACGCGCAACTAAGGAGACAGATTTGGAAAACGCGCTCGTTCTTGTTCTTTCGGCCAAGGCGCAGCCTGCTCGAAATGATTTGAACTACGCGATTTATTGATCGGCCTCGGCGACACGTTTGAAACCCGAGTGCCCGATGAAAAGCCACTCGAGTGTATAATAATAACCCGTGCCAACTATGCGGCGCATGAATGATGAATGCATGCCATTACGAAGTCATGGACGCGTGATACGATGTATGTACACGGTGCGCACGCCACCACCGACGGTTTTTCGCGCCGGCGGGCACGCTTTTCACGCGTGTTTCCTTAGCGTGCGCACCGAATTTTTCAAATGCGACATACAACGATGCGGCTTCGCATCGAAGGCGTACGCGCAGCGATATCGTTTTCACAATGTGTCGCGTTTTCGTGCGCTCGTTGATGGAATTAAACGAATTAATATATACATATATATGAATTGAATGGACGTTACGTCCGCGAATATCGCGGTGTAAATGTCAAAGATAGAGGCTGCACGATTCAAGCGATTCTGACAATTTACCGTCGTTTACGAATCCATTATCCTCCCCTTCGTTGCTTTCGCTATTGTAACATTATTATTATCATTATGTAACACACGGCTGTATCGCGATGGGCTGATAGTAACATTCCACGTGCGGGTAGACGTCGACAGGTAACGCGACGGTGGAAAGTGCGTCGACCGAAAGGCGTAACCCGTTACGTCGACGTTTAACGACGCGGTAAGAGCGTGAAATTAAAAATACGCCGGCCGATGCGATAATATTTGCGCTCGCTCCCCCGCCGGGGATATTCGTGGAAATTGTGCGAGAGCTCATACTCGCGCGGACGTAACGAAATATTTCCGTTTAATTTCCGAGAAGCGTGACGCTTCGAATTCCCCATTCGAAGAGCCACTTCCAGTGTTAGGCGCGCCAAATTTTTCTCGCATTCCTCGAGAGAGATACGTATCGATCTCGCATCGATCGATCGTCCGCCACGCAAGGGGAAGGAACTACCGTTGTCGATCTGATGGATCTTCGCGCCGTTCATAGCGTCCGTGCTGGCCAGCAGCCGCCGATCCTCCAGCTTTTCTTTTCTCCCGAAGAAGACCATCGTGGAAACGTGCAGTCCGACATGCGCGGAATATAAAACGATATATCCGAGTGGCCCCTCCGTCGATACCAATTTGCCGGTGAGTTCGAGAGAGAAGAGTTCCGACATTCACATTCTCATATTCACGTCATTGTTTCGGATCTTCTCGCACATCCGCGCTTGCCATTTCCTCTCATACGGTCCATACGGTCATTTTACCCGCGCTTCTCGGTGTTTCCGGCGCGAATAGCGATCCTTATTCGATGCTTCCTCGCTTGAGATCGACCCTTTGTTATCACCGATCAAGAACTAACACCACTGGTCGGTACCGTCCGTAACGGTTCGATTCGGCGCCAGCCGAGACTCGCTCGCGCGAGGAAAACGTCCGGCGCTCGATGTTTTCCTCGGTATCACCTCGCGGTGAATGGAAACACTGTCTTACATCCGCCGGGGCCCGAAGACCGTGAGGTCCAGACGAGGGGACCGCGAGTGGCACCCTTCCCACTCGCGTGGTGGGGCGACTAAGGTGAACCCGACGACGCGCGTTCACTCCGCCGTCGTGCAATTCATATCTCTCGCCGATTTTTCTCGGCCACCGCTCGGCGGAAATCGCGAGATGAAAGTTAACCCGATGAAGAGAGGAGGAAGACGGGGCCGATTAAACATGCGGACGACGAGACGCCGAAGGACGTTGCTTATCGCAACATGCGGATCTAATCGTGAGCAGCAACGGTTGCCGACTGGCTTTAGCGATTCAAAGCTGGCCGCTACGAAGGATCGGAGAGAGACGTTGATGTATCCAGAAACAAACCAGCTGGTGGCTGCGGCGGGCAACAGCAGTGGAGGGGGCGACGCTAAGAAACGGCAAAGAAGAGAAGAAAAATGAGAGGTGGGAATCGGCTCTCAGCGCGGCGGACGTCGTGACCGTCGTCGATTGTTCGTGGCGTGTTCGTGGCAATTTTAGCTTCACATTTGACGTAGAAACTAATAAACACGAGAGGTAAAGGTAAGATAACGCGCGGTAGTCGTTGAAGAACTTGGTGGGAAGAACGTTCGCGCGTGCGGGAGGACTTCGACACGGACTCGGTAACGACTGTTGACTTGAACGTTGAAGTAAGTGACGCGGTCGCATTGGTCGTTAAGGACCGGCGATATATTTGCGAAATCGGATAACAACGTGCCTTCAAAGAGAGGCGAGACCGCGAGACGAAACAATGCGGTAATCGCTAAAAGCAACGAGAAGAGAGGCGCGCTTCGAGGAGGTGAAGAAGAAGAAGAGGCGAGCGGAGTAGGAAAGCGAAGTGAACGGGCGCGAAGCTGCGGAAGAGAAGAGGACGAGGGGAGAACCGATAAAAATGGGATCTCGCAGACAACAACGGACGCGATCAGCGGAAGTATCTACATCGTAACGCGGCGGAGAGGCCTCGAGTAGGAGGAAGTCCTGAGCGATCGTTTCTCAAGGTTGCGCGACGAACGCGGTCTCTCTCATCGAGCGTCATCGATCGTTCGCCGTCGCCTGGAGAACACGTGCTGCGTGGTGGTGATCGATCCGAATCGCACGGTAGACAAACTTTGAACAGCTCGCCGGTGTCGACGGACGGCCTCGTCGTAATTCGACGTCGATAGCCGCGTCCAGATAAACCCAACTATACACGAGGTCGGTATATTCACGGTGCCGTTGCGCGCTCCTTCTTCGTCGAATTTTCACGTAAACGACGTATTCCTTATCGCTCTAATCGTCGATAATCGCCGTAGCGTCCGCAACTATCGCGGATCCCTTAATTCCTGTCTTCAAGACCACTCGAGAATTGTTCTGGCATTGGAAAAACAATTGTACGTTGTGCCTCCCGAGGGACGTAAAAAATACTAGCCGGTGCCAGAAACCGTTAGAAATCTCACGGGTTTAACGACACACACACACCTACACATACCATGGAAACGGAACGGTGGTTGCTCGGCGATGATCGCGCATGTTTATGAAGGGCCAAGCCTTCGGAAGGGAGAAGAGAGATCATAGTCTTACCGGAAGTGGAGTTCAAGTCCCTCCTCGGAATGATCGACGACAGAGCGGAGCAGCCGCAGACGTCGTCGATGACGTTGCCCCTCGACTTGCTCTTCCTCATCGCGGCCGGCTTCCTCAGGTGACGTCGATCGACATCCCGTTCACGCCGATCGCTCAGGTCTTCCACCTCAAGTCCGGCCTACGCGCCGGTCCCTCGCGAACTCCTCGATCCCGTGAGGTCGTCATGCCCGTCCTCACCGCCGGAAGTCCCACGTGCCGTCGGCTCTCCCCCGCGGATCGATGCCTCCCCGACCGGCCGGACGACGATCGCACGGCGGCTGTTGCTCGACAGCAAATGGACACCAGAGAACGGGATCAGGATCTATTCATAGATCGAAACGATCTTCCTCACGCGGCCGTCCTCCGCAAGTGGCTTTTCCGCGAGCGCGAAAACGGTAACCGCGTTCGGTGGGGCCGCAGGGCGCTCATAAGCCGTGCGGGCCGACCGCGACCGATACTTATAGTCGTCGGTCCGAAGGGGGTGGCTTTTGCACCCTCTCTCTTTCTCTCTTCCCCTCGCTCGCTCTCCCTTTCTCGCTTCCTCGACTCGTGGCAACGCGACTGGTACGCGTTATATCCCCTCGATCGATAGTAAACGCGCCCACGAAAGGATCGGAAATACTCTTCGCGGGGCTGCCCGAAGGAAGGCTGGCGCGGGACATTTGTTGTCCCCGAAGATTCGGCGTGACATCACCATTCCCGTCAGTTCGACCCTTTTGAAATTTTCTCCCCCCCCCC